GCATTTTTGTTGTTTCTCCAAATCATGTTGAAGAAACGTGTTAGCCACTCGATGCCTTTCTCTCCTAAACTTCTCCAAGCCTCGATCGGTATGCCATCTGGGCCCACTGCTTTCTTCCGGCCCATTTTTCTCATATCCTCTTTAACTTCTGTTGTTTGAATCCTTCTCACGAAGTCCCTATTTACCATACACTCTGGACTTTATTTCCGTTGAACAAGGTATCAAAGTATGACCTCCACCTCTTTTTTATTTCTTCATCGTCCATCAGTACCCTTTGATCGACATCCTTCACACACTTAACTTTGCCGATATCTTGACCTACGGTCACGAAGGCGAGCAAGTCTGTAGATATCTTTTTCTCCTTCCTTAGAATCCAACTTTACATACAATTCCTTATTCACTTTTCCTTTGGCTTCCTTCACAGCTTTCTTTTCTCTTCTTCTAGCCTCTTTGTACTCCTCTATGTTCTCGTCGCTCCAACTTTTGCCCAATTTCTTATAGCATTCTCTTTTGGCCCTTATTGCTTGTTTCACCTCATCATTCCACCAAGATGTGTCCTTTTTTGGTGGCAGACATCCTTTAGATTCTTCGAGTATCTCCTTCGCCACTTTGTTAATGGTGGACTCCATTGGTAACCACACATCATCCACGTGTGTGTCATTATCAATAGACCAAACATCTTCCTCCAACATTTTGTGTGCAAAAATTTGTTGGAGATTCCTCTTGAGCCTCCACCATTTTATCTTTGGCTCCCCTTGTCCCTTAACTCGTCCACTCTTTTTACCTCGAAAATCAAGCACAAACATCCTATACTGAGTGACAGCACTCTCACCTGGGATAACCTTACAATCAGTGTAGCTAGTTCTCCAAGTCGTCCTGATGGATGGTGTACCCGAGGGGTAACTTATCCGAGGGGTTATTACGGGGAGTAACTAGAGAGAAGTCAGAGCAAGTAAGTAGAGGGAGAGAGAAAGTATATTAGAAAGTATTGAGTGCTTTTGCGTCTTGGCCTCCTTTACAACGGGGAAATGGGGTGCTATTTATAGTAGAAATAAATGCCGGGCAGGGACACGTGTCAAACATCCATTGGCCGAGGGGTCACCTCAACTGGTTGGCGCTGGCAATCGCATGTAGCCGCATTTAATGCGGCTGTTGGATATGACGTCGTACTTGGTACGGTGATCTATACGCATGTGGAGCGGATATCATGTCGGAAAAGGTGCCCTCGGCTGTAGATGACTAGCCGAGGGCTCTGAGTACCGGGGACCTCCTTAGTGCCGAGGGCTCTAGGTGCTGAGGGCTACTAATTTTCGTCGTTTTCTCCGAGTAACTTTGTTTTCCTAATTTGGCCATCCTGTGAGAATTAGAGCCTTCGGCCAGGGGGCTGAAGGCACCCCTAGTGCGCATTGTGGGCCGCTTGGTACTCTGGGCGCCGTGATTTGGGCCTGTTGCGCTTCCCGGGCCTTTTGGGCCTTTATTGGGGTAGTAGGAGTCTGTGGGCCGGGGGTTCCCGGGCCATATACTCCATCACGTCCGTATTAAAAAGTACTACCTCCGTTCTCATTTTAACTTCCAAATGGGTTTGACATAAAGTTTAAGATAGTGGATATTGTGTGGCGGAGAGTTATGCAGAGGAGAGAGAAATGTGTAAGAAATGTTGTGAATCACAAATTCTTTACCAGAAGGGAAAGTGGAAGTTTTAATTGGAACGGACGAAAAAGGAAAGTTGGAAGTTTATTTAGGAACGGAGGGAGTAGTCAATTTGGGTACTATTAGCTCCACTTCTATAGGTGACAAAGTGTTCATCACAGCCAACTCATATGTCGAGGCAAAATCCAGAATGTTCTTCCCCGCTTCATTTCTAGTGCCAAACCCATGTCCGCCATGGACACTCTCAAAACCATCACGACTTGGGCCCACATGCCCGTTGAGGTCACCTCCTATGACCAGTTTCTCTCCCCTTGGCACTCGTCGCACCACTTCCTCAAGATCCTCCCAAAATTGTTGAGTGATAGATGCATCCAATCCCACTTGTGGTGCATAGGCACTAACCACGGACACAATCTCATCCCCTATTATCAACTTAATGCTCATGATGCGATCGTTCTTCCTAAACACTTCAACCACACCGTCAACATAATCATGTGCCACCATAATGCCTACTCCATTTCTGTTCCTCTCTCTCCCTGAGTACCAAAGCTTAAAATCCCCGGGATTAATCTCGCGTGCCTTTTCTCCAACCCACTTAGTTTCTTGCATGCACATTATGCTGATATTTCTCGTCTTCATAACCTCGCCTATCTCAGATGATCTTCCCGTAAGAGAGTCAACATTCCATGTCCCAAAGCGCAATCTAACACTCTGACTTCTCTTCTTTACCCCACATCGACCCCCACCATGCCCTTGCATATTTGACACCATCCCCGGGCATTGGAGTGGCGCATCGCTTCCGGGCGACGACCTAGCAGCCTTAGCATTCTTATCACCACACCCAGGCCTATGAAGTGTAGCGTGCCCTTGCCCATTTGACACCACCCCCAGGTGGAGGGATGACGCGTCGCTTACAGGCGACGACCTAGCTGTAGCGATATTCATATTTTGATTCATGTCATGTGATGTGACTAAGTGATACTGTTGGCCGTCACGCGCCTACCACAGCACCCTCCCCCTTTATCCTGGCTTGGGACATACATGATACCAAAAAAAAAATGATCTCATGGCGGAGTTACATCTAATCTGTTATGATTTATTTAAAATTGTTTTGATTTGGTAAATATCTTTACATGTGTATTTGAATATAGTGAAATATGTCTTTATTTAAATTTAAACTAAATCTTAGTGAAAACATCATAATTTTAAAATATTTCACATATATTTTCTACCACTCATTATCCCCCCCCCCCCCCCCCTTATATTTAATGCCTTCTACTGTGCCTTATACGGTTATACCACATCTCTCATTCATCTTCAAAGAAATTTTCTGATTTTTTATTCATCTTACTATATACAAACCAAAGTGAAAAATGTGAACAGTATTCCCACCTAAAAATATGGTAAAAATGGGTCAAACCCGTATTCCACCACTACATGGGCCAGGGTTATTGTTAATTTGTTACAGAGAGACGAGAAGTTGGGAACTGAGAACAAATCAAAACCTGCTGTGTGGAGGATGGAAGTGACGTGTGAAAAAGTTGGGAACTGGAAAAAAATCAAAACCCGCTGGCCGGAGGAAGAAAGTGACGTGTGGAGCCATCCAAAATGAAATTTTCATTTTTCTTCAAATTATTATAACTTCTTTATTTATTATCCAATTTTTGTAAAAAATATATCAAATTTAATATTTATTTAATCTTTCATATGACACCAATATATCATATATGAATTTAAAGAAAATTGAAATTTCAACTGCTGGAAAATTTTAGATTCATTTTTTTCTTAAATAGATCAGAGTGTTAAAGTGAAGATCTCATTTTGCTTTATTCCATCATAATCTCAAGCCAAAAAATAATGAATCTTTGGCTCCATTTCAACTTTAAATATTTATAGTAATTTAGGTATTGTTAGGTTATATTAACTCATAAAAAATGGTTATATTAACTCATATGTCGTAGCAATAAGTAACAAAATTGATTGGCATAGGCTATATATATATATATATATATATATATATATATATATATATATATATCAATGAATTATAGAAATAAATAAAAAATAGCAGGTTATATAATTTTTAGCATCTTTCACTTCATTTACATATTTGTCCATATTGCTCTTTAATTATTATGTAACATTAACTTTTCACTATCATTAGCATGTTTCATCTCTACCATTGAATTAAATTGTTTCTATATATGTTTGTTTTTTCATTAATACACAAAATTAAAAAATTTAGGATATATTCCTCATGTGCAAAATAGGGGTAGATTACTACTCCCTCCGTTCCTAAATAAACTTCCAACTTTCTTTTTTCGTCCGTTCCAATTAAAACTTCCACTTTCCCTTTTTAGTATAGAATTTGTGGTTCACAACATTTCTCACACATTTCTCTCCCCTTTGCACAACTCTCCACCACACAATACCCACTATCTTAAACTCTGTGCCAAACCTATTTGGAAGTTTTAATAGGAACGGAGGTAGTATCACATTTTACTTCATATCATGTCTCCCTCCTTTCCAAACTAAACTTCAATCATTTCTTTTTGTCTATCCCAATGTATAGTATTTCTTTCTTTTATGGCAAAGAATATTTGATTCACAACATGTTTATTTCCTTTGCACAACTTATGTCACAATTTCCACTTTTTTAATTTTTGTGCCAAAGTTAAAATATGAATTTATTATGGAACAAAGGGAGTAGTGTATAGAAAACTCGATGTATAAAAACTCGATAAAAAACTCGATGTATAGAAATTGTATAGAAACTAGTTGTATAGAAAGCAATTAAAATTGTGGCAATAGCCAATGACGATAAAAAAAGTACTACCTCCGTCCCATTAGAAGGTTCTCGTCCACTATTTGCATGGTCAATTTAAATCATTTTTAATCGTTTACTTTATAAATCAATTTTTTATCAAATTTACATTTTTTTATCAACCTTTGTAGTGGTTTTAATGTAGTTTCTGAATATATTAATTTTATTTACTAAAGCTAATCAGAGTGTGAACATGTATTAAGTTACTTTATCGTCAGTCAAGCATCGTAAACCGTTCACTGAAACCTTCTAGCGGGACGGAGGGAGTAATGTAAACTTAATTTATTTTAATTATTTCACAATTTAATGGAGAAATCAACCAAGTCGCGAAATCAATTTAATGGAATGATGATGTAGACCTGCCAAATTTCTCAGTAATAAAAAGCGTATCCCCCATTTCCGGCTGTTGAAAGCGATTAGCGGCGGAGTACTCCGTGTTATACAGCTGGACGCGGTTTTGCGGCTCGCCACTACTGTGCCGCTACAGTGCTTCACAATAATTCCCATTTGCCGGCAGCTTAACTCTATATATCTCTGCTAGTCTGCTCTTTCCGGCGTACCTGACGGTATGTAACGCTTTTCCCCATTATTCCTTCATTTCCACCGTTCAATTTCATTTATCGCCCAATTTTAAGCTTTTTGAGTTTGCACGTAAATACATACTCCGTAGTGTAAGTTGTTGGAAGCCGGAACAGACTCCGAAAAGGATGGGAGCCTTCTTCAATGACGACTTCACATCCCTTCCGACGTACAATTTGACGTCCTCCCAAGATCTGCGGTTCTCCAAACAAGTCCATGATAATGTTCATGGTAACATCTACATTGATCAGGTAAGTAATTTGTCGTTCTCTACGCCATTAACTTCGCTGCTGCTTTCTGTATACGTGCATACCGTCAGTATTTCTCATTCATGCAAAACTAGGGGATACTGATACTTTTGACTTGTATCGATAATGAATTTGGTTGGTTGAGATATTTAAATAACTATAATTGTTATACCAAAGTTATGCTATACTCATTTGGGAAATAGCAAATTATCAAAGGTTAAAGTGATTTAGAGATGACAGGAGGCTGGGGATAGTATCAGTGGAGTGATACTAGGATAATCGCTAAGATGCTAACGCTAAGAAGTTGAACACATAATACAAAATTAGAACCTAAATATGACTGCACTTTTTCATGCAAGGAAAAGTAATTACTCACTTGTGATGCTATATAGAACTGTTTTGAGTTTGCATTCCCTGCATACGGAAACTATGAATCATCATTACCTAGCAAAACAGATTTAGATTTTGCTATGCATTATCATTAGTACTCCCTCGGTCCCTAACTGAGTTACAATTTTATACTTCGCAGCTCAATTTCATCATATCTGAATTCAGTTTTTGCGCGAAAATAACTTTTGTGTAGTTTCTACTTTCTGAATATAAATATTTCAATCATTAACACTAATTTCAATTTCATTAGGGGGCAATTAGCTTTATCTTTAATCAACTTTAAAACTGCAAATTTCACTTCAATTTTGGACGGAAGGAGTAGTAGATTCTGGTCATGGCTGTAGCAACCAGCAAGGAACTTGGAGCTTTGCTGTTCAATGCTTTTAAATTCTCTTAACATTTTGTCCATGATTTGTAGCATTAAATTCTATAAGTTCTACCCACATGCATGTTAATTTTGGATTTTTATATCCAGTTACAAACTCTGTAAATATTTACAGTTGTTAATCTTCTGCAGCTCCTTTTGAGGTTTGTTGATACAGAGCAATTCCAGAGGCAAGTTCCTTGTCACATGCATACCAATTACAGATGTTAATTATGAACATATCCAAATATCCAGTAATGGTGTATATTTTTCTCTCTTTCAGGCTCCGTGATCTTAAACAACTAGGTAATTTTATAATCTTATGTGACTCTTGCTCTATTGACAACTATTTTAGGCATTGTCATGGTTTATAACTCCAGAAAACACAACAATTTACAGAGAAAATGTAGAATAGAATCAAGAAAACAATCAAGCTTTATTATCGATGAACAGTAACAATGGCGGAAGCCCCCAAAGAGAGATATTATTAGTCTCTAACTTCCCAGTACAAGACAAAAGTCTAAACAGCTTACCTCACTTCTCCCAGCTTATTCTATTTATACTAATGCAGTACATTTATTATCATTCTTGGTCTATTAGGCCCAATTCCTAACAGTCTATTAGGCCCAATTCCTAACAGTCTATTAGGCCCAATTCCTAACAATACTCCCCCCTAAACATCCACGTTGCCCTCAAGGTGGGCGATAGGACACATCCACCATCTTCTTCTCCTTCATCCTAGCACCTCTCCCTTTCCAATACTGGATGGATTGCTGGACTTTTAGTTTTGCTGCTTCCATCTTCTTCCCTATGTATTTCACAGTAGAGTTACACAGATGCCATGACATTTGTTTTTGCAATTTGGTTCTTTCAGATTCTGTGGAGGTGAAGTCACAGCCTGCTGCAACACCGAGGACAACAACTTCTTGCTTTTGAACACTTTCTTCTTCAATATCAATAGATAACTCATGATAGTTCAGCAATTTTCCTTCTCCTCTCTTATTTACCAAGCTCTTCATCTCCTTGTTTATTCCTAGTTGATGATCTCCTTGTATACTAGCCTTCTGCCCCTGTACCTCCCATTCGATGGTCTGATTTTGAAAGTTAACTGCCATATCCCCTAGGCCAGTTAACCAGATCATTCCCAACACTACATCCACTTCCCCCAATTGCAGAATGTAAAGTTTCTGCAAAATTTCATTTCCTTGTACAACCACTGTTAACCCATCACACCTACCATAGTTGGGAAGAAAATCTCCATTCTGATAGGAATTGGCCTAGTATTAGAGATAATAAGTGGGCCTATTAATTACATAATAATAAGGGGCTTGTACTATAAATAGAAAGGGAGGCTAGGCAAATGAGTAGGCAGTTAGTAAATTGGGAATAGACTTTTGGAGAGACTGGCACTCTCGAAATTGCCAGAACCCTTCTGTAAAACATTACCCTACTTCAATACAGCTTCTTGATCAATTCTTCGTGATTTCCTACTGTTATTAGTTGAATTATATCAAGGTACTATATAAGGTCTTTCAGCTCCCCGTCTATTCTATGGCTGGGCCTCTTCCAAATTATTCAGTCGAAATAAGCGCAACGAGCTTCGAATTGCTTCCTCAAGTCCACTCATGTAGTAGCCCAAATAATGAGCATCGGTCAATCCAGAAACTTGGCTAGCCAATTGAACAAACAAGGTATTGTATTCCTCTACTGATCCAATCTGTTTGACGCCGGAAAGCCTTTCAAATTTGTTCCCTTGGAATCGGGAATCGAATCTGGCCACCAGGGCTTGCTTGAATTCTTCCCAGGTCATGCCCGGTTTGCGTGCTTTCAGCCAGGTTACCCAATAGAAGGCCCCTCCTTCCATGGCCACCATAGCGGCGACCACCTTTTTGTCTTGTAGGGTTCCATTTAATTCGAATTGTTGTTCGACACGAGCTATCCACCCGATCGGGTCCTCTCCCTCAAACGTGGGCAGCAAGGTGTGGCCGGTGATGCGCGGCAGGTTGTCGGCGATGGGTGTTGTCACGGCAGCACTTCCGACTGCAGCGGTGGAAATTTCCGGCGAGATCGGCAAAACAAGGGCCTGGGTTAGCGCCTCCAGAGAGGCGGCGATTTCAGCCAGCTGCATGCCGTGTTCTTCGAGGGTGTGATTCATCCGATTCTGCTCAACCGCCATTCGGGCTTGCTCCTCTCCCACTCGGTGTTGCTCGGTCTCTAACTCGGTCAATCGATCGTTTTGAGATCTTGTCATCCTGGCGGGACGGGAGCCGGCAGGTCGGACCAATTGATAAGAACAGAAAAATAAAAACAACGGGGTGAACCGTTGCCCGGATAATCAACGATAAAAAATACCGTTGCCCAGAGCAAAAAGGCTAAAACCAATTTTATTCCAAGATAATCAGAATGAACCCTAGCGAGGGGTATAAATAGCCTTCTACAAGAATCCCTAATCAAGCCCAAATTAATTAAACCCTAATTAAGCCCAAATTAACTTAACTAACTACTCTACTAATAATAGGCCCAACTAAAACATAACATTAACATAATAATAATTAACTACAAAGACAGCCCTAACCCGGCCCACGGAAGTGGGCCCAAGCCCGGTCCCGCCCCATGCTCTTCCCGCTCTCTATCAACTTGATCCTTCTTCCAGCTTCTTGTTATCATCTGAGTTCTTCATCAATTGATTTGTAGATGTCAGATTATAACTATTTCTACTACCATCTCCCCATTTATGATAGCTCTGTCCACCTGCTGAATTTATTTTCAGGATCTTCTTTCCCTCATCTTTATTCTTTATGATGTTGGCTTCATGGTTCTTGTTTTCAATCAAGGAAATTGTGTCCATGACAGCAGCTAGGGTTCTTGTAGGATATAATTTCAATTCAGCCCTTATATCTCGTTTCAACCCATTGAGGAACACTCCTCTAAGTACCTCCTCAGTCAGATGCCCCTGCGAAGCTATAGCAACTTCAAATTTATCTCTGTACTCCTTCACCGTCCCTTTTTGCTTCAAACTAAACAAAGATCCCAGAGGATCCTGCACCAATTCTGGTTGAAAACGTTTGCTTAGATCCTTCGTAAAATTCTCCCAAGTCTGGTGACGAGCCTGGCCTTCCCACCATTGGAAGCAGCTCAGTGCCTGGTCTTCCATGGCTATCACGGCAACATCAATTTTGTCTTCTTCCTCCGTATGATTCAGACGGAAATAACGATTCATTTTTACCAGCCATCCAATAGCATCTTCTCCGTTAAAAATTGGTAAGTCAATTTTTCTTCCAGTTCGTTGGTGGTGATCATATCCCCTGCGGCGATGGTGGTGGCGGTGCGGTGGTGAACAGTTGTCGTTCCCTTCCGAGTTCGCTGAGTGTCGCGACCGATGATGGTGAGAAGTGCGATGCGCTGCAGATGATCGATGCAATGCAGATGAGCGATGCGACCTACTTCTCCATCGATCTCGATCGCTTGCATCCAATCTGGCCATAATCGCTGCCAACATCTCCGTCGTTTGTTGATGATTCCTATCCACCTTATCATCCAATCTGTTGTGGTTATTCTCCAACTCATTCATCCGCAAATCCATCTTTGTCCGTGTCCAGACCATCCACAGAATCTACATGCTCTGATACCACTGATAAAATAACTCCAGAAAACACAACAATTTACAGAGAAAATGTAGAATAGAATCAAGAAAACAATCAAGCTTTATTATCGATGAACAGTAACAATGGCCGAAGCCCCCAAAGAGAGATTATTAGTCTCTAACTTCCCAGTACAAGAAAAAAGTCTAAACAGCCTACCTCACTTCTCCTAGCTTATTCTATTTATACTAATCTAGTACATTTATTATCATTCTTGGTCTATTAGGCCCAATTCCTAACAGTCTATTAGGCCCAATTCCTAACAGACTGCTACTATCTCTAGGATTTACAAGACTCTAGATATCTCATAAGTCATATCTTATATAAAGCAGAAGTTCAAACCTTGTGAACTTTTTGTCATTGTCTGCAGATACTACCATTGGACTTAGCATGGTTTCAGGAGAGTTATAAAAACGATTTTGTTATCTGTTACCTAATGCACAACACATTTACTGATATAACTTCTCCGGCAATTTGTAGGAGTGGCAAACATGGTTTATCCAGGAGCAGTGCATTCAAGATTCGAGCATTCCCTTGGAGTTTATTGGCTAGCTGGTCAAGCTGTTCATAAGCTCAAAGGCCACCAAGTATGAAATCAAGATATGGCATTCGTTCAGAATTTAATTGGTTTATAATATATATTATTTTGCAGGGATCGGAGCTTGGCATTGATAATTTTGATTTACAAACCGTGAAACTTGCAGGCAAGTAACTCATGATGTCTCAATATGGCTCATGTTTATCTATTTCCAGTGTTTACTGTTTAGTGATGCTTTGTTTCAACTCTTATCAATTCGCCAGGTCTCCTGCATGATATAGGGCATGGACCATTTAGTCATATGTTTGAACGCGAGTTTCTTCCTATGGTCACTGGTTGTTCGGATTGGTAATACCTCATGTTGAAGTCACATTGTTGTATTCATGTATATTTACTCTTTCCTATTTATGTGTCTATGCAGTATGGAGTCATGCTCTTCGTGCTCATATTTTGTGTTGTTATGAAACCTGTGATCATAGTTTATACCTTTGTAATCATGTGTTTCTGTTAAAATTAACTTTTGGCAGGCAATCAGGCATCTTTTCATTGAAAAGGGACTTTCGTTGCATTGTTGTAATAAGGAAAATGAATCATTTATAAAAAAGACTCAAATAAGTGAATAACTATTCTTCACTATTTTGTTGAGGTTGAGTCGTGAAGGAAATTTTATGTTTCTACAAGTTTGGTGCATCTTTTATCTCTGTCACTGGGCGTAAGATTTATCCTCTTTTTATTGGTACACACGAATGATTGACATGCCAATTATGTATATATGTACTGGCTATCTCACACTTGTCTTCCTTTTGTTTTGTTTTTACTTTTTAACAATGTTCTTCGTTTTGACAAAATAAAGGGTGTTGATTCTATGAGGTTGTGTTTTTTCAATATCTCTTTGTATTTCTCCTGAAAATGTTTGTCATCTTTACCCTATACTTTTCATGAGGACTTCAGTTCCTCAGAAATGGAGATGTATAGAATAGTAGAATGTATATGAACTATGAAGGCAGCATCTTATCTGGTGTGTTACATTCGTTCTAGGTGTCATGAGCAAATGTCTGTGAGGATGATAGACCATATTGTTGATGGGCACCATATTGATATTGAATCAGAAACCATTAAAAGGGTTAAGGTAGGAATGTAGGATAACATTTTGACCTCAATTATTCTGTGTTTGGATGGATTATAATACTTTGTGGCTTTATTTTAGTCTAATTTGCTTGAAGGTGCCATTTGCCCATTCCCCTACTTTGCTCGTGTTTCAGCTCCAATATCTTCCTCATAATTGACATTGAAGTATTTATTTATATTTGCGATTGAAGTTGTTCCAGCGGTTAATATTAATTTCAATGTTTATCACTGACAGGAATTGATTCTTGCCAGTTCCAAACATGCTTCGTCAAAAGTAAGTTACCTTCCCCTGCCGGCCCGCCCCACTCCACCATTGAACCAATTGGGAAAGTGGGTTCTTTCCTGCATTTAAGCTTGATTTTATTTCCTCTTCAAATGTATGCAGTCTTGATATATTTCTTATTCTTCTATGTAGAGCTCTAGTGAGAAACAGTTTTTGTATGATATTGTAGCAAATGGAAGAAATGGAATTGATGTTGACAAGTGAGTAGCACTGAAAGTTTGACTGGTGTTCATACTATATTTTGTCTCAGTTGCCCATCCATAAATTATATCGATTGATTGGGTGTGGCTCATATGATATATACTTGGCTTTCAGGTTCGATTACCTTGTTCGTGACAGCCGAGCATGCGGTTTAGGATGCAGTTTCCAGTTCCAGAGGTCTTAGCATCTTCTTACAGGGCTACTTGAAAAATGACCTATTTTAATGTGCAGATTGCAAGTAACAATTTATCTGTGCAGATTGATGGAGACGATGAGAGTGCTGGGAGATGAAATATGCTACCGTGCCAAGGATTGTAAGCAACAATTTATTATTACTAATTTACTACAAAAGAAATAGTCTGTGCATGTGTTTGGTTGCTGTTCTTATTTTTGAAAACTGGATAAACTTGCAGATTTAACTATACACAAATTATTTGCAATGCGGGCTGATCTGCACAGAACGGTTTACACTCATGCCAAAGTGAAGGTATGCTTGAAGTTAATTCTCACACGAGCTATTAAACCATTTTTTAAAGTTTCTAACAGACCCACAAAGTTAAAAGATTCAACACATCCTGTTTGTTTGTTGCCACCATTCAGGCAATAGAGCTCATGGTTGTAGATGCACTTGTCAAAGCAAATGGATATTTGCACATTTCATCCTATATAGAGGACCCATCTGAATATTGGAAGGTAGCTGTGCTAATTCTAATGAATAATGATTTAAAATTTAAGTTCTCCTTTAGGTTGTGTAGTCTTACAGTTCTTCGCACTTGTTGATGTAGTTAGATGATACAATATTAAAAACCATTGAGACAACTCCCAACCCAGAGTTAAAGGAATCTAGGGAACTGATCTGTCGAATTCGGAGGAGGAATTTGTACCAGGTAATTGAAGCTATAGATGGTTGTTCTTGTGAATAATTTTTATATAACATACGCACATAAACATGTGAGTAACGTTTCGGTTTCCTTAAGTCTGACCAGTTTTGCTTCTTCAATATTTCAGTTCTGTAATGAATATGCTGTTCCCAAAGACCAAATAGAACATTTCAAAGATGTCACTGCAAAAGATATTATTTGTTCCCAGGTATTAAATGCAATTTTTCATGTTTTTGTTAGTTTGTATTTGTAGCATAGTAGTTTAAGAATTGTTTGTTATATCTCTCCTAGGTAGGTGCAGGGACGACTCTTGAAGAGGACGACATTTCTGTAAGCAATGTAAGGATAGATTTGACGCGTGGGAAGCACAACCCTCTTGAAAAGTATGTTAGAACTAGATGGTGGATTTATTTTTCAATAATGTTATGCTCTTATGGACACACAAATACATGCACATTAAGGGTGACAAATGTGTGAACATTTTTTATGCGATTTATAATGAATTGATTGGAAATTATCTATTAATTCATTTATAGTCCATAAAAATCCATTCCATCCACGATCCAATTATTAATACCCGTTAACAACTTTTTGACATAAGGATATCATATCTATTCTTATAATTTTCCATAGAGGTGGATTGGATGGATGGGGTTCACTGCTTAATTTGTGATCCCTAATGTGTACATACATGAATATATGGCCTGTCGCTTTTATTTATATATAATTTGTATTTTGCTTTTCTTTGCATATGTTTGGTGTACCAGCATCAAGTTTTTCAAGGTACGCATGTGCTAGTCATTGCAACCACTTTAGTTATAGTGATAATAAAACAGCAATGTTATTATTATAATAATTATAATTGATATGATAATAATTATCAACTGTAGGACTATGAAAGTGAGGAGAAGTTCTCGATATCAGATAATCGGATCAGCCATTTGCTGCCATCATCATATCAGGATATGATAGTTAGGGTGTACTCCAAAAAACCAGAATTGGTAGGTGCAACTTGAAGATCTTATTGCTTTATTTCTGTGTCATTTTTTGCATTAATTTCTTTGGTACCTTATTAAAAATAACATGCACCCCTGCTTTACACCTTTTCCGTGATACATTTGCCCATTTGGTAGGTAGGGGCAGTTTCAGAGGCGTTTGAAAATTTTCAGTTGAAGACATATGGTATAAAAGCTCAGGTTCATCCAACACCGGAGAAGAAAAGACGTCGGCACATAGATAATAAGTTAGTATAGTCACCTCTTCCCCTCACACCCCGCACGGCCACACGCACGGCCACACGCACATATAGTTTGCTTGGTTGCAACTTGCAAATGTATATACATTTTCTGAAAAGGATCATCATTAGAATGTTTTGAAGGGAATTCCTATAGCAAAAGGGGGTTGGCTTGAATTGCCCTCGAATAGTTCTTAGAATTATATGATATTACTTTAACAATGCCTGGAGTTGTTGGTTAATCGGAGTTATGTTGGCCATGAAATGAGAGTAATCCTTCCTGTATGGGAGTGATTAAATTTCCAAAAGAATGCAATGAATTGAGAAAGTGTTCTCACACCAAAACACACAATGGCACAAACATATCCAGGAAACTTTTATACTGACTTCGAGTCCATCAAAGAAAGATTTGAAGAGCTTTGAATTTAATGATGTAACTTTTGGACTGATATCGACCAATTCAAAGCTCTAGGCTATAGGCTTTTAACAGAGGGAGTAATGACAAACGTAGAAGGTGAACGTGAAAATGCAACCACACGCAAGGGAAGGCAAAGCAGGATTAGAAGGTCTAAGGAACAATTATTGATCATTAACACCTTTAACATCTTCCAAAAAAACACCTTTAACATAAACAAACATATTTCCTCTGGCTATAAAACTTTCCATACCAACTCCAGTCCTGCCACAACCACTGTCCCAACCTGCACCTGAACAATGCCCCATCCCTCCCTTGCGGCCTTGCCACATCCCACCATCACCACTACTCACAACCCTTGTGGACACTGAAAGATCTCCTGGCGTTGCAAAAATCAAGAGAAGGAGAATAAACTATGGGCAATGGTTTCAACGGTCGAGCAATTGAGGCAACAAAAGGCTGTGACAATGGAATGCTCCCATGGAGGTGTTGTGCGCTAAAATGGTGAGAAGCACAAGTTTGGTGGTGTACAACTGTGGACTAATCATTGAGAGAGAGAAGGGAGAGAAGGGGGAGGATATGAAGGGGTTTTGGTCTGTTAAAAAACAATGTCTCTTTTTGTCTGTAATTCCTTCCATACCAGACCAGTTCAGACCAGACTTGGATAGTTATAAAAATAAAAAGAAACCAGACCAGACCATCAAATTACAATCCAAGTAAAAACATCCTTAGTCTACTTAAATATATTGTTTCTATCATAAATCTTCCCAAAATATGACCATACATGACTCTTTCTCAATAGGACTATGTACATATGGAATGAAATAAGAAAAAGATATGTCCAATGGTATAAATACATGATATATGACATCATATTGGGAGGGAAGACAGTCAAGACACAAGTCATATTTTGAGAAACATGTAAGGTTTTAGTCATACATGTGGTTTTACTCATTGCAACATTCAGCTAATAAAGAAGTGCAGTAGACAATATATTCTGTTGTTGGCAAACTGCAAACACAACATGATAAAAGCCAATTGCCATACAAGCCCAATATCATGCCAACCCCAACAGCCCACACCCTTGTTCACTTCAATTCATGTGAGCAAAATGACTGAACACAAAAACTGTTTTTTTGCCTTATAGAATTTTAGGCATTTTATATTTCTGTTCCCGTGACAACTATAATTGTATAACGTTCCACACTGGATATATCATATAACTATATAAGTAGTGTATTTCTAAAATTTTACTGCTTAATCTTACTAGTCTTGATAACAAAACTGCTCTGTAGAAGCAAGTATTCTTTAGCTCTAAATAATGGCAAAATAGAATTTCTTTTTCTTTACTCATTTTTTTCTTTGCCCATACACAACACATTCTCTGATAAGGGCAAACCAATGAATATTAATCATTTGAAGATGCTTTATTCTTAAGCCTTTAAGTCCCTGTTTGAATTCCACCCCGGCGACGATTTAGCATTGTCACCTAAAATGCTGCCTCCTTTTTCAGCATTTATCAGAGGATCAGATTCACCGCCCTTTTCCTTCAATTGCATAGGAAGATAGATAGATGATTCCTCACTGTCAGTTTTCTTGGACATAGAAAAATACATATTTTAACTTTTTTTAAAACTCCTCGGTCCAATATTTCAGAGTTTTTTTTTTTTTAAAAATATTCCGTTTAAAAGGCTGAATAGTGTCCACCAGTATCCCTATTTTAGGAAAAGGAAACAAAGGGATACATTCATTTCCAAGTGCAGGTCCACAAAGAAGAATAGAAGATAACTATTCTTTGAAAAATAATTGAAGCTAAAAAAAATCAAATCATCAATACCAAAAGAGTTGAGCTTGCACCTCATGTTTTTTCTCTTTGACTTGGAAGCATGAGGAGGGGTGCAAACAAAAAAAAATAAATCATGGGGTACAAAGTTCAACGTATGGGGTGCAAAATCTAACAGAAATGGCTCTGTCAGAAGCGCAAAGCCAAAGAAAATAAACACGAGGTGCAGTGTTAGGGAAAACAAAAGATGGGTGCAGATGTCAAATTTCCGTTGAGATTAAGGTGATTAAGATAATGGAAAAACGGATAAGTACCTGAAAAACCTGGACTGATGCTTCACTAGCCTTTTGTTGGGTCTCAATAGTGACATAATACGAATAGATAATCATTCCAATCACGGCAACAAATATTCCTAAAATGTTCCTCCAACTGAAAGGGTCATGAAGGAGAACATATCCGAAGGCTAACACAAGGCAAGTTTTCAGATGTCCTAATACTTGGTAGGTCACTGGAGATGTCTTCCCAATTACTAGAAATGTACTGAAGTTCACAGAAACTGATATTAAGCAAGATAGAACAATGAATGCCTGCCATAAGAACTAAAGAGTTAATGAATTGTGCAGTCATAAATTAGAGTAAACACAGACTCAAGAGAGGGTAGAATGATTAAATTCTTCACCAACACTTTTGGAGTGTAGTTGAAAGCAAACACATTTTTATTTGTCAAAAGCCCGTCCAGAAATGGTCCAGTTACAATCAGAGTAATTGCTTGATAAGGGCAAGATTGATATAGAAGCTGTGTGGAAGAAACCTTGAACTTCTTCTGTATGGTATTAGTCATCTGTGTGAGAATGGTTAAGTTTACTCCTATGGTAGAGGCCAATAATAAAAAACATTGTGCACATAACAACATCATCATCATCATCATGATCATTACCCCAGTGCCACAAAGACTCCCACCTACGGGCTACGGTGGGGTAGGGGGGGTCGGATGTACGCAGTCTTATCCCTGTACTAAAGCACAAAGAGTCTGTTTCCGAATGACCCATAGTGAAAATCGCGTCGAAAATTGCTTAGACTGACTGTTACTTCATAACAAAGAAGCGCAGACAGTTTAGTGAGTCATTTTGCTTTATTCCATCATATTCCCAAGCCAAAAAATAGTGAGTCTTTTTTGGCTCCATTGAAAACTATGGAAATTGTACATAACAACATGCACACATAATTTGGATGTAATGAGAAGTAACCCTTTGGATATAAATATAGTGCATTAAATTCAACATCTAAAGGCTCAAAACAAGCAAATGAAGACAGAAAATGTGATGGCATTTCTGTTAAAAATAAACAGTGTACCATTCATGACCAAAACTGCAAAAAAACATTAAATAAAATTGCATTTCCCATGAAGAGATTTGAAAAAAACATGCAACAATGTTGCAACAAACATGCAACAAACATAAGGAGAGAGGGAAGGTGGTTTGAAAAAAGTAGGCTGATTGAAAGCAACGATTGAGGATACAATCTGTGCAATGCAGGTTGTGATAATTGCAAGCATAGATAGAATAGAGCCCAGCATGTTGAGCTGTAGATCAGTAACTGTTGCAATTCCAACACCAAAGAGAAGGATAGTCAGTGCAACCTGGACATTCCTACTGCAAAATCACACGATGGAACGTATTAATGGACAAATTTACTAGGCTAGACATAAAATCTCAACATAACAACAATATCATAAAACACATAACTATGTAACAAGTAATTCTACAAAGAAAATGAATGTATGAGACATCGCTCCTGTATGAAAGAGGTCATGAGTAAGATTCCGAGTGGGAATTAAATATCTACAATTTCTTTCCCAGAAATGACATTTCTTGCCCCATCAATGAATCTTGTAACAAGGAAGAAACATAGATCTTCCCTTTTAGAAAAACAAATAAAAAGTATGAGTAGTATAATGCTCCACCTGAAGTTCTTCCTAAAGAATAAGGTCTCCAAAAGAACCGTACAAGGGATGATTGCCAATTTCGTCATCTACAATAATAAAAGTTCATAAAAACAATAGAAGAAAAAATCAGACAAACTCATGTTCAATAAACCCCAACATCTAAAAGCATCACCCCATCACCATTGAATGAAGGTAGTAATGACTATAAGACCTGACAGGGAAACATCTATTCAGTCCCTATACTAATTACAACAAGTAATCTCACACATTCTGGGCGCCCGTGAAGTAAGATTTCAGATCATACTCGTTTGCAGATTAGGAATACTAAATCACTGATATTGAAGGCTTGAAGCAGATCTTTACAGTTATTGAAGGTTTGAGCCTTTGAGGAATAAATTGTACAGTACTTAACAAGCACTGAAACTCCCCACAAGTCACGCTTTGCGATACTGAAACACAGAAGTGTGTCGCAAAAACCGGGAACTTCAACTCTGTTTTTGTGCCATTTATGTTATTAAAACAAATTGGGAATCCCATTATTCTAATATTTAGCATTTTAGCAACTCTGGAATTCCATTTTTTTCAGGATTCCTTAATGGAAATTAGTGTTTGTATATGAAATTCCTTGATGGAACTTTTTCTAGGATTTCTTGCTAGCAGTCTAGCACCATCGTCTTCCTGATATTTCGTTGCTAAAAATGTAGTATGTTTTGCATATGATGATGTACAAATATGTGAATATGTCACTAACTTATATGTTTGAACATTTAGACTATTTTTATCATTGGGCATTTAGCAAAGGTAGATGAAACAAACATGTGTATCTAGACCCGTCCGCGATTCGTGGAACCAGAACCGGATGTTTACTAGTCCGGTTCTGAACTGGACTAGTAAACCAGAACCGTCCGGATCCGCTTTAGAACCGGAGGTTTACTAATACGGTTCATTTTTCCGAAAATGTGGAACCAGAACCGGAGGTTTACTAGTCCAGTTCTGAACCGGACGGTTCCGGTTCCTAACCTTTTTTTATTAAAATAAATAAATAAATGATCATCATAAAGATAATAAGAATAGTAGTACTTGTATATTGTACTAACAATAAAAAAAATAATGAGTATTAGTTAGTAATTTTTAGTCATTACTAGTTATTGGAAAATCGAACCGGGACCGAACCGAATTGGAACGGGAACCGCCGGTTTTGGAAACAGTGCTGTGAGATTCCAGCGCCCCGAAATTTGAAACCGCGAACCGGCGGTTTGGTTCCGGTTCAAACCGCGGAACTATGTGAATCCCTCTCTGTGAATACACACACAAACAGTCACACACACACAGTCACACACACACACACATATATCTTAAATATGCATATGATCTTTTAGAAAAAAATAATAAACATATCCCTATTTTTTAATATCTGCAAGTTCCGCCATCGTATCCTATAGTTTTTTGAAATGCCATTTTCACTAGAGATTTTAAATGATCGTGTTTCACACAAAATCCCTCTATGTGTGATTTATTTACCTTAAATTATATAGCATTAGCATCAGTGCATTTGGAAAGCCCGAGTTTGAAATCAAAATTCTATTGTCATGTTGACATTCTTGGGAGATCAAAAGAATGAGGAGCCATGATATTTGTCTTGTCATGTTTATTTTTTTAGATTTCAAAATCTGCCTTCTTTACATACTTGTTGCCTTGTCGGACAGGTACTAGTGTACTACTGATGTGAGGTTTACTGTATTATACTACGTCATATCCTAAATTTTACCGGTGTTATAATTTCTTTCTTTCAGTTAAAAGTAAACTTCTCCAGTTCTCCACCCAGTGACGTGAACGATATATGCCTATGTGGCATGTATTGCCCACAACTATATATAACAGCATCCCTACACATTTACCAATGCAATTCAGTACATTATTGAAAAAAGAAATCATTCTATTAAGAAAAAAATGAGTGGATTTACCTGATAAAATCCAACTGAATTGAACCCCAAACTTAGATTGAGAAGGCCAATTGAAGTCCCATTCAGCATTCCGAACCCCATCACAGCTCTGGGATCAAACGGCTTGTGTTCAAAGAATTTCATCCATAGGGCCACATGAAGAGAACAAAATGTAACTAGAAGATGCCAACTTGTCAAAGTTGTAGCTGACAAGATAAGGTTCAATTTAGTAAAAAATGAATTATTTTTCGAAGTTAATTTCAGAACACATGATCCCTAGAGAAGACAGTGTTTAATTACATATTTATATATCATCATTTTACTCAAACCATATTTTCATCAAGTAAAACATAATAAATACAATAGTTCATATTTTTTCTATTATCGTATTATACAATTAAGTATATAGCATTAAAATATAAGTTAAAATTCTTATAGAATATTTTTAACATTTTATAATAAGTGTAGTATTTCAAATTTATTTTTGAACAAAGTATGTTATATATTTAAATGTTTACTACAGAAAGAAAATCATATGTAAATATTTTATATATCTACAAATAAATATCAAATAATATTATTGATTCATATAGGCCTAAAACTATATTTTAGAATATGATTAAATATTCAAAAATGCTTAAGAATTCTTATTGAATACTAAGTACTATATTTAAATCTAGAAATATTTTGAAACTAAAAAATAACAAATAACATTTTTGAATATAGCAATATTATTATTATTATTATTTTATCATAGTGAAGAATATAATTTTATTTTTTTTAATATAATAATATGTTTTTATTACAGCAAAATATTATATATTAGTTGACCGGGTTTTCCGGCATTGACCCACCGGGTTCGGGTTGACCCATTACCTGATCATTCATCTGGGTCACTTCCCCGTCTGGTTTTGCAACATAGCCCATAATCCCACTTTTCTTAAAATGTGTGTTGCTTCTTTATGTCACAAAAGTAGTGGGGCGGAGGTAGTAATATCCTTAAAATTTAAGTCACAGAACCAGACATTCTTACACATTCAATGAATGAACGGAAGTCAGAAGACAAGATGAAAAAAAGAAGATAGAACTCACCAAATGTAAAACCGAGGGAGCTGATAAGGGCCTTGTTGCAAATAACAATAGAGACAGAAGATACCACAGACAAACTGAGTGCGCCAATAGTCCCAAGCTGAAACCGCTGGCCATCACTCATCTTTTCACACACTTTCCCAATCTCCAATTTCAAATTCTACAGATCACACATCACAACTTCGTCACTTCCGATTCAATCACGTAACTAAATCACGCATAACATAATCCATGGAAAAAAACACAAACCCAGCTTAGCTGAGGAACACGAATAATAATTGGCACCCAACAGCTGAGGTTTGTGAACACATAAAAACACATAACGATATATAATGCGCATAGTTCAGCAACCACTCTGTATTTTATCGCAAAAATGAAAAACAAACTCACAACAGCTGAGGTTTGTGAAAACCCTAGATCTGCAACTTTCACTTCTAATTCCAGATATTATAACATTCTTGTGTCTATACATGCATCATATACATAATACATGTACGTGTATATATACATATCTATGAGCAATAATAATAATGCACTTAAATGCATAGAGAGAGAAACGTAGTATAGAAGCTCTGTGGTATATGATCGTTGAATTTAATGATATGCAGCTATCAGATTTAGCAACTTTTGAGGGAATGTAGACAATTATGTGTGAAAAAATATCACAAAGAAAAAATATCAGAGGCACAAATAAATGCACAATGTCGATAAAAACATAAACTCATAAGACGGTGGCATCTTTTCCTTTATTATTTCTTTCTTTTACTCCGTAACTAGTATATGGCCCGTGTGTTGCACGACGGGGAAGTTTTTGTTATAAATTTTACATTTATGTAGCTCAATTTTAAAAAGATAAATTGTATAGAAACAATGGCTATGTCATGTGTTAATGACACGTACATGTTTTAAAAGCCCCATGTTTATATGTATAGCCCATCCCACGTAATAGGCTCAAAAAATGACTAATGTACATTGTAGATTCAAGTTATTTTTGATAGCATAAATCGTTTCACCAAGCCTCTCTGTTTTCACTCCACTAAAGCATATACATTACACTTCCATTTTTCCTTCTGTGTACTTGCCGAAATCATACCCAAACCATCCACTTCCACTATTGTCCTTCCTTTAATTTGTTCAGTCGACCTTCATGTAGATAAATTCCAACCAAAATAGTCTGCACTCATATAAATCCTCCATTACCGGTCAACTACGAGATATACACCCACACACAAACACACACACACATATTATATGCATCACATATCTATATTCTGATCTAAGTATATAGATCGTCCATACTGAATGTTGTCCTGATCTAGATTAAACTTTATAACCTTGGTCAACATATTAAAAAACTTTAATTAATCTCCCTTGATCAATATTTTTGCAAACATTAAGAGAAACAAATTGATTAAACATGAAATGACAATACTAATTACGAAATATATACGACTAAACGACTGCATTTAGACATTTCATTTTAACATCAACACATCTTCATACAAGTATATAATATCATTAGATTATGGTCTAAATATAATAAAAACAAATCAAATTTGGTTTTAAAAGTCCTGACTTTTAGGTTAACATAATAAATATATCTTAAAAGAGGTAATCGGGAATTCAAGATAGAGGTGGACGGTGGACCATAATACAGATGGAGTATGGAGTACCTATCGACTACAGAGCGAGGTCTGGAGGAGAAGAAGCAGGAGTCTGGAGGAGGGAGCAGCGAGGCAACTGGGCTGCGAGTCGACGGGAGGAGCGACCAGTGCGCAACGTGTGGCGACAGGCCGACAGCGATCAGATCTCCAGTGGCGAGTGGCGATGGCGGTAGTATATACTAACCTAGTTAAAAGTTACTCCCTCCTTCTTAGTTTGATGTCTCATTTCTTTTAGACACAAGTTTTAATAAAGTGGTTGAAAATATAAAAATTGTGGTTGAGATTTGAGTATAATAAAGTGAAATGATATGGACCACAATTTTCTTTACAAAAAGGGAAACATGACCATCATTTTGGGACATTCCAAAAAGGAAATACAGGACCATCATTTTGGGACGGAGGTAGTATTGCTCATGTATAAACAAAGATTCTCATTTATATTTTAAGAAATAATTAAAATTCTTAAACAACAATTTAATTATCAAGTATTACAAATAATATATTGTTAACATCATAGTTATTACCACTAACCCTATTATAATACTATCATATATACTATCGTACTTATCAAAATTATTTTTCTAAAAATATTTCGAATTATTTTATTTAGTTATTATCTAAATAATTGTACCATTTCATTTTATCGTATGAACCTTTAAACGGGATGGAGATACTATTCTTTTAGGTTGGGCCAGGGCCATCCCTGGTCCTAATCCCAATCCCCAGAATTAAAGAAACAAAAATACATGTTAACAGAAAAATTGTTAAAATTTATGTTATCTTCAAAATGAGGCGCAAGTGTGGTAGTAGTGTTGCTTAGTGTGAATATGAATGCAGAATGAATGAAATCAAACTGCCCAACATACTAAATTGGTATACTTTTATTTACCTTCAAAAACTAAAAGTCCTATTTTTTTATTAAATTTCGTGAGTTTTTTCGTGAAGTCTATAACATTCACGCAAAATTTCACATTTTTATTTGTTAAAAGTCTGTCCGGAAATGGTCCAGTTACAGTAAGAGTAATTGCTTGATAAGGGCAAGATTGATATAGAAGCTGTGTGGAAGAAATCTTGAACATCTTCTGTATGGTATTACTCATCTGTGTGAGACTGGTTAAGATTACGCCTATGGTAGAGGCCAGTAATAAAAAACATTGTGCACATAACATGCACACATAATTTGGATATAATGAGAAGTAACCCTTTGGATATAAATATGGTGCATTAAATTCAAGTTAGGGCTCAAAACAAGCAGAGAAGAAAAATGAAGAAAACATAGAACCTAATCTCAAAAAACTAAAGTATATCACTTTAGTGTATTCGCCTTTATAGACAATACTGGAGCCAACTTCACTTGTGATGTCCCATAGTTTGTATCACACAACATTCCCTTTCATGAGGTTCAGGTATGCAGGTTGCCGATGTTGATATAGTTTCTTGAGATGAGTACAATTTACAGCAATGTTGTGTAGTGTTTCTAGTAGGGGTAAGGTGAAAGTGTGGTGTATAGTGTATGTTTGTAGTGTTAGTGCCTATTAGGCGTCACTGTGACGGTTACGGTGGCGGCGGCTAGATTTTCACTGTGTTGGTCACTTATTCAAATATATATCGGTGGCGAAGAAGTTGGCATTGACACACGGGTGATAGTGTCACTGCCACCAAGTCAGGGCGGCTGTGTCACATAATCAGCAAAATTTTTAGTCACATAAGGGCTCTTTGACCAGAAGATCCATCTTCTCGTGAAGAAATTCGAGCACGTCCTTTCTGTTTTCCTTCAAGAGCAGTTGTCTTAACTTTCCAAACGTCTCCCTGTCGGGACGAATCCCTTTCTCGATCATCTCTTCCATCAATTTACAAGCCCTGTGAGCATCCCCGTCATCACATATCCCATTGATAAGCACAGAAAAAGTGTGCATGCTGGGAATAACCTGCTTCTCCTTCATTAGCTTCCATATTTTACGTGCCTTAAGAAGCTCCTTTTTCGCGCAAAACATTTTTATCATCATGGTATATGTGTCCACATCAGCATCACAGATCTTGATCATCTTCCGGAAGACTTTGAAAGCCTCGTCAGTTTCCCCCTCACCAATTAAACTGCTCAGAATGATGTTACAAGTCCTTGAGTTTGGGGTCACACCTTTATGGTCCATCTCGTTTAGGACCCTATAAGTGTTCCCATACCTCTTCACTTTACAAAAAGCACTTATCAGTGAATTATAAATGACCACATCACCGTGGACCCCGCTTCTTTGCATTTCATGGAATGTATCAATTGCATCTTCAATTCTGTTATACATACCATAAGTATGAATTAAGATGCTGTAAATAAAAGAAGTTGGCTTACATCCCCCAAACTCCATCTCCTTGACAATTTTAACTGCTTCCTCAACCTGGCCAGCCTTGCACAGGATATCGACCATAATACCATATGTCACTATATCGGGCCCACAACCCGCCGCAACCATCATTGCATAAATCTCCCTCGCCTTTGGAAGGTTGGGCTCTCGTCCCCATCCCTCGAGCAATATACTATATGTTTTCACGTCGGGGGCAAACTGGTCTTTCACGTCATTGAAAATCTCTTCTGCTTTCCTCACGTTTCTCGATTTGCAAAGGGCACTCAACAACCCGTTGAGAGCCGCGAGGTTGGAAGGGACATCATATTTCTTCATCACATTGAACGTGTACACCGCCTCCTCCACCTTCTTTGCCCTCGCATACTTCCTCATCATTATACAAAATGTCTCAATATTTAGCATACCCTTTCCTTTCATTATATTCACAAGATCCCACATTACTTGATATTGTCTAATCTTGGCAAGGGATTCAATCATGCTGTGATAAGACCTGACACTATGCTCGTAGTTCCGTTGTCTACCTGCCCACTCAAAGAAACGGTGAGCCAACATACCAGCATTGTCAAATCTCTTCAGCACTTCTTCGACCAGATCTGTTGATGGCCTGACCCCACTCCGGTCAAGCTCAGCGTCAAGCCCTGATTTTGGGCAAGACATCAAAATGTCACAAACCTTTTTCATGGGATCAAACATGACTTGTGTTGTGTCCTTCGAACAGAACATTCTGGTGAATGATTTTGTCTTTAAGCAGCATGATCTCTTGGTGCAGCTACGTAGTATGATCATTTTGAGGAAGAAAAATCAGTACGTCAGTGTGTACTGAGTGCGCCAATAGAGACAGAAGATACCACAGACAAACTGAGTGCGCCAATAGTCCCAAGCTGAAACCGCTGGCCATCACTCATCTTTTCACACACTTTCCCAATCTCCAATTTCAAATTCTACAGATCACACATCACAACTTCGTCACTTCCGAATCAATCACGTAACTAAATCACGCATAACATAATCCATGGAAAAAAACACAAACCCAGCTTAGCTGGGGAACACGAATAATAATTGGCACCCAACAGCTGAGGTTTGTGAACACATAAAAACACATAACGATATATAATGCGCATAGTTCAGCAACCACTCTGTATTTTATCGCAAAAATGAAAAACAAACTCACAACAGCTGAGGTTTGTGAAAACCCTAGATCTGCAACTTTCACTTCTAATTCCAGATATTATAACATTCTTGTGTCTATACATGCATCATATACATAATACATGTACGTGTATATATACATATCTATGAGCAATAATAATAATGCACTTAAATGCATAGAGAGAGAAACGTAGTATAGAAGCTCTGTGGTATATGATCGTTGAATTTAATGATATGCAGCTATCAGATTTAGCAACTTTTGAGGGAATGTAGACAATTATGTGTGAAAAAATATCACAAAGAAAAAATATCAGAGGCACAAATAAATGCACAATGTCGATAAAAACATAAACTCATAAGACGGTGGCATCTTTTCCTTTATTATTTCTTTCTTTTACTCCGTAACTAGTATATGGCCCGTGTGTTGCACGACGGGGAAGTTTTTGTTATAAATTTTACATTTATGTAGCTCAATTTTAAAAAGATAAATTGTATAGAAACAATGGCTATGTCATGTGTTAATGACACGTACATGTTTTAAAAGCCCCATGTTTATATGTATAGCCCATCCCACGTAATAGGCTCAAAAAATGACTAATGTACATTGTAGATTCAAGTTATTTTTGATAGCATAAATCGTTTCACCAAGCCTCTCTGTTTTCACTCCACTAAAGCATATACATTACACTTCCATTTTTCCTTCTGTGTACTTGCCGAAATCATACCCAAACCATCCACTTCCACTATTGTCCTTCCTTTAATTTGTTCAGTCGACCTTCATGTAGATAAATTCCAACCAAAATAGTCTGCACTCATATAAATCCTCCATTACCGGTCAACTACGAGATATACACCCACACACAAACACACACACACATATTATATGCATCACATATCTATATTCTGATCTAAGTATATAGATCGTCCATACTGAATGTTGTCCTGATCTAGATTAAACTTTATAACCTTGGTCAACATATTAAAAAACTTTAATTAATCTCCCTTGATCAATATTTTTGCAAACATTAAGAGAAACAAATTGATTAAACATGAAATGACAATACTAATTACGAAATATATACGACTAAACGACTGCATTTAGACATTTCATTTTAACATCAACACATCTTCATACAAGTATATAATATCATTAGATTATGGTCTAAATATAATAAAAACAAATCAAATTTGGTTTTAAAAGTCCTGACTTTTAGGTTAACATAATAAATATATCTTAAAAGAGGTAATCGGGAATTCAAGATAGAGGTGGACGGTGGACCATAATACAGATGGAGTATGGAGTACCTATCGACTACAGAGCGAGGTCTGGAGGAGAAGAAGCAGGAGTCTGGAGGAGGGAGCAGCGAGGCAACTGGGCTGCGAGTCGACGGGAGGAGCGACCAGTGCGCAACGTGTGGCGACAGGCCGACAGCGATCAGATCTCCAGTGGCGAGTGGCGATGGCGGTAGTATATACTAACCTAGTTAAAAGTTACTCCCTCCTTCTTAGTTTGATGTCTCATTTCTTTTAGACACAAGTTTTAATAAAGTGGTTGAAAATATAAAAATTGTGGTTGAGATTTGAGTATAATAAAGTGAAATGATATGGACCACAATTTTCTTTACAAAAAGGGAAACATGACCATCATTTTGGGACATTCCAAAAAGGAAATACAGGACCATCATTTTGGGACGGAGGTAGTATTGCTCATGTATAAACAAAGATTCTCATTTATATTTTAAGAAATAATTAAAATTCTTAAACAACAATTTAATTATCAAGTATTACAAATAATATATTGTTAACATCATAGTTATTACCACTAACCCTATTATAATACTATCATATATACTATCGTACTTATCAAAATTATTTTTCTAAAAATATTTCGAATTATTTTATTTAGTTATTATCTAAATAATTGTACCATTTCATTTTATCGTATGAACCTTTAAACGGGATGGAGATACTATTCTTTTAGGTTGGGCCAGGGCCATCCCTGGTCCTAATCCCAATCCCCAGAATTAAAGAAACAAAAATACATGTTAACAGAAAAATTGTTAAAATTTATGTTATCTTCAAAATGAGGCGCAAGTGTGGTAGTAGTGTTGCTTAGTGTGAATATGAATGCAGAATGAATGAAATCAAACTGCCCAACATACTAAATTGGTATACTTTTATTTACCTTCAAAAACTAAAAGTCCTATTTTTTTATTAAATTTCGTGAGTTTTTTCGTGAAGTCTATAACATTCACGCAAAATTTCACATTTTTATTTGTTAAAAGTCTGTCCGGAAATGGTCCAGTTACAGTAAGAGTAATTGCTTGATAAGGGCAAGATTGATATAGAAGCTGTGTGGAAGAAATCTTGAACATCTTCTGTATGGTATTACTCATCTGTGTGAGACTGGTTAAGATTACGCCTATGGTAGAGGCCAGTAATAAAAAACATTGTGCACATAACATGCACACATAATTTGGATATAATGAGAAGTAACCCTTTGGATATAAATATGGTGCATTAAATTCAAGTTAGGGCTCAAAACAAGCAGAGAAGAAAAATGAAGAAAACATAGAACCTAATCTCAAAAAACTAAAGTATATCACTTTAGTGTATTCGCCTTTATAGACAATACTGGAGCCAACTTCACTTGTGATGTCCCATAGTTTGTATCACACAACATTCCCTTTCATGAGGTTCAGGTATGCAGGTTGCCGATGTTGATATAGTTTCTTGAGATGAGTACAATTTACAGCAATGTTGTGTAGTGTTTCTAGTAGGGGTAAGGTGAAAGTGTGGTGTATAGTGTATGTTTGTAGTGTTAGTGCCTATTAGGCGTCACTGTGACGGTTACGGTGGCGGCGGCTAGATTTTCACTGTGTTGGTCACTTATTCAAATATATATCGGTGGCGAAGAAGTTGGCATTGACACACGGGTGATAGTGTCACTGCCACCAAGTCAGGGCGGCTGTGTCACATAATCAACAAATTTTTAGTCACATAAGGGCTCTTTGACCAGAAGATCCATCTTCTCGTGAAGAAATTCGAGCACGTCCTTTCTGTTTTCCTTCAAGAGCAGTTGTCTTAACTTTCCAAACGTCTCCCTGTCGGGACGAATCCCTTTCTCGATCATCTCTTCCATCAATTTACAAGCCCTGTGAGCATCCCCGTCATCACATATCCCATTGATAAGCACAGAAAAAGTGTGCATGCTGGGAATAACCTGCTTCTCCTTCATTAGCTTCCATATTTTACGTGCCTTAAGAAGCTCCTTTTTCGCGCAAAACATTTTTATCATCATGGTATATGTGTCCACATCAGCATCACAGATCTTGATCATCTTCCGGAAGACTTTGAAAGCCTCGTCAGTTTCCCCCTCACCAATTAAACTGCTCAGAATGATGTTACAAGTCCTTGAGTTTGGGGTCACACCTTTATGGTCCATCTCGTTTAGGACCCTATAAGTGTTCCCATACCTCTTCACTTTACAAAAAGCACTTATCAGTGAATTATAAATGACCACATCACCGTGGACCCCGCTTCTTTGCATTTCATGGAATGTATCAATTGCATCTTCAATTCTGTTATACATACCATAAGTATGAATTAAGATGCTGTAAATAAAAGAAGTTGGCTTACATCCCCCAAACTCCATCTCCTTGACAATTTTAACTGCTTCCTCAACCTGGCCAGCCTTGCACAGGATATCGACCATAATACCATATGTCACTATATCGGGCCCACAACCCGCCGCAACCATCATTGCATAAATCTCCCTCGCCTTTGGAAGGTTGGGCTCTCGTCCCCATCCCTCGAGCAATATACTATATGTTTTCACGTCGGGGGCAAACTGGTCTTTCACGTCATTGAAAATCTCTTCTGCTTTCCTCACGTTTCTCGATTTGCAAAGGGCACTCAACAACCCGTTGAGAGCCGCGAGGTTGGAAGGGACATCATATTTCTTCATCACATTGAACGTGTACACCGCCTCCTCCACCTTCTTTGCCCTCGCATACTTCCTCATCATTATACAAAATGTCTCAATATTTAGCATACCCTTTCCTTTCATTATATTCACAAGATCCCACATTACTTGATATTGTCTAATCTTGGCAAGGGATTCAATCATGCTGTGATAAGACCTGACACTATGCTCGTAGTTCCGTTGTCTACCTGCCCACTCAAAGAAACGGTGAGCCAACATACCAGCATTGTCAAATCTCTTCAGCACTTCTTCGACCAGATCTGTTGATGGCCTGACCCCACTCCGGTCAAGCTCAGCGTCAAGCCCTGATTTTGGGCAAGACATCAAAATGTCACAAACCTTTTTCATGGGATCAAACATGACTTGTGTTGTGTCCTTCGAACAGAACATTCTGGTGAATGATTTTGTCTTTAAGCAGCATGATCTCTTGGTGCAGCTACGTAGTATGATCATTTTGAGGAAGAAAAATCAGTACGCCAGTGTGTACCTGGAATAAACAAATTAGCGGAACAAAGTGAGAACTGATTGAACAAGAAGCAGGAATAAACAAATCAGAGAATTATAGAATAGTGAGAATGCTGATACAAAAACAACCAGAGTACAATGCAACAGGGGGGACAAAGTATTCAATCATAAATATTATGACCCAGAGGCATATGTAAATGCAATGCAGACATGCTTGGAGAAGACGTGCAGTTGACAGGCCAAAATTTAGTTAACTCGTTTTATGTACATTAAACTGATTATATTTAAATCTATTTAGTTGGCCACAACAATTTGCCAGGAGAAAGGGGTGCAGTTCAGCACACTTCCTCATTTAGCAGTAGTCGGTAGTTATTCCCTATTTCATTGTTACTACCTCCGTCCCGCTTAAAGGTTCGTATTGCAAAATCGCACGGTTATAGGTATATAATATAATGGGGTCATTGATGATAAATGTGATGTTATAAATGTATTATTTTTAATATCTGATGATTAAATTGTCATTTAAGTGTGTTAATTGTTTCCTAAAATAGAAATGAGAAACTTTATATGGGACGCCCAAAAAAGGAAAGTGGGAACCTTGGAATGAGAAGTAGGAAGTACTTTTTTCTTGTAATTTCTTGTATAGATTAGCTAAACAAAGGCATAAATGAATTGACCAAAACTTTTCCTGCTAAATTCGTTTTTCAACTGTTTCTGTTCTTTCTGCAATTCTTAGTCACCAATATCTCAGCTTATCAAACACATCATAATATTGCATGATGAGATAAATAACATGTTCAGGTTGATGTTAAATAGGTTTCTGGATTATATAAAGTTGCAGGTTATAACCATACAGTTTCTTCTGTGTAGGTAAATTAACTGTCAGATTATATTTAATTCTTCCGGTGCTGATTTCTTGTACTCCTGAAATAGATTTCTTTCCCTACTTTTTTCACTTTCAAGCTTTTCACAATTACTCCGTATATGTTTGGGCAAGCAAGGACTTACACTCATTGGCATTTCATCAAACAAATAGAGTGTGAACACTGAACGGACAAGGATAATTAGGGCATATTCATTTCAGAAGATACACTGACCTTGACTATGGAAACAGATGGAGGATTCACAGTTGATTCTTTTGTCATGAAGATAGATGCTTTTCAGCTCCATATTCAGATGAATTTAAGTGGATCTGTGCGTGATAAGGGCTATTAGTACCGGGGCCATGTCCCTATCTTTTAGAAGTGTTCGATAGAAAAACCCTGTTGGCTAGGATTTTAAAGGAGGAAAAGGTTAATTCAATACACCAACGTGCACGAGATAGAGTAAAGAGTACATTATATTGCATTTGATCTTTTTTAGGTACACAAATTCGGGATTTTAGTGTTAATTGAGTACATTTGTTAGATTAACATGTTAATACAGTTGAGTTGGCTAATAGAATGTCGAGTAAGAAGTGGTAATGGACCAATGTTATGGTACTCACCTTCACGAAGTCGATAAAAAAGGAAAAATTGACCTTCGGAGATCGACCTGCGGGGGCGTCGGTCAGCAGTGGTGCATCGACCAAGGAGAAGTAGAAATGCGAGGACTGACGTCGACCAAGGGGAAGTCGATCAAGTGACTAGGGGCTGACGTCGATCTTCAAAAAGTCGACCTAATAGCATTCTGTTAGCCAACTCAGTCATATTAACATGTTAATCTAACGAGTGTACTCAATTAACACTAAAAACTCGAATTTGTGCACTTAAAAAGATCAAATGCAATATAATGTACTTTTTATACTACCTCATACAAATTGATAGAAATTGATGTAGTCAATTGACCTTTACCTCGATTTTAAAGGGAATTGACAAAACTACCTTTATCCAAATGCCGCTGCCAAAGACCCAAATATATGTTCCGCTCCCGTCATATGCAGACCGATTCATGGCACGGCAGCAACTATGCCTCTGTCGACTAGATTCCTCATCGGTCGCAGGTCACCGAGTGGTTGTCGACGCGAGTGTGGTCACGATTGTCGTTTATGATTTCTCTCCTCTTTTACTTTCCAACTTCTGCTGCTAACACGTGCCTTTGTGTTGATATATTTTTGTTCTGCTACACATGCCTTTTGCTGGTGTTTTACTTTCCTCCGTATTATTTAGGTAAAATACATGGTACCGCAGCTCTTGTTTTGGGCTTTGCCCTTCTTCGTTCCGTACCAGAAGAATCCGACTTGGCATCAACCTTCGCACCAGTTTCTCCGATCTAGCTTGGTTCTTCGATCTAGCTTCGCCACTGGCTGACTGTCATCAACGCACCACTGATTTCTTTTGCTCGTCGCCGCCGCTCATGGCTCATCCCCCTCTTCTCTAGCACGGAAGCAGCAGATCCGTCTGGACAATTACTTCTCCTCCCTCTGTCTTTCTTTTCACTATTTTTAGGTTTTCTCTTTTTCTTATTCAGTTTTGCTGTTTGAGATTGCGATTTTGGAAGACAAAGAAAAAACCTTACTGCTATTGATCTCAAATAATGAGGTTTATATCAAACTCAAATGAGTATACACATAAAAGAAATGAACATACACAACTGAATACTAAGCACGTTAGAAATGAGTTTTATATTAAATTCAAATGAGTATACGCATAAAAGAAATGAATATACACAACTGAATATTAAACACATTAAAAATGAGTTTTATTTTAAACTAAAATGAGTATAACGCCTGAAATCAATGAGCATACACAAATGACCTTTTGAATTTTTTGATACTCATTTTGTAAATTATGTATGCTCATTTGGTATTGCTTTATGCTCATTTTAAAATGTTGCACATATCAAACATATCATACTAATTAAATTCATATATTGAAATTGATTATAAACATCATTTAATATTTTTTTATAAACGAAAATATAATAAAAAGAAACTGAATTAGAAGATATGAAGCAGGGATCACCGGTGCTCATTATTAGGCTTTCAATACTCAAAAGAACAGACTTGATGCTCATGAAAATTGCATCAATGCTCATTTAAGAGAAATCATGATTTTCACCAAAATTACAAGTTTGACACTGGTTGTACGGCCGACACCTTACAACCGGCTGTACCATATATGCTTCCTATTATTTATGCTTTTCTATTTTATTTTATTTTGCTGATTCATCTTTTCAAATTGATTTTGATGGATTTTATTGCAGTGTTTTCAACATTGACATTAAATTACATTGTCAACAATGACAGTGTAGTAAGGCCCTTTTCCATCAACTTAATTGACTGATTTTGTTAAAGTATCAAATTCCAATCAAATCGTCTATATGTAATGATTTATCAAAGCATATAATTTACGAAGAAAGTTAAAATAATATTCGTAGTTTTCTACAAATGCAGTAGACAATACTTTAGCATGTGAAATAAAAAAAGTTTTCATAAAAAGTTACCATTAATCTGATAAATTGAAAATAAAGACTAAGAAACAGGCTCAAAATACTTACACCACTAATATAAATACACTTGTAACAGTTTTAGTACTCAGTATTAGTTGTTTAACACTCCCTCTGTCTAGCTAAGAAAGTCTCATCTTTAACACTCGTATAGCAAATTTGATAATATTTCTATGGTTCAAAATCTGTTTTACTTTATTTTCATTTTATCAATTCAATACTAACCACGTACATAAATTTAATTCTTGCTAAGCACATTACTTCCTCATGTATTAATATTAGATGAACAAAGCAGATAAGGTAGATTCTCCTAGTTAGGTCATCTATCTTTGCAAAAATGTTTAAGAGTCCATTTGGTTATAACTTTTTATATCTCGTACTTAATTGTGATATAATCAAATCAGTAAGGTTGAAGTTACTTTTCCGATTGAATTGGTTGAAATTATTTAGAGAACATTTAATAGAGAACTATTAAATAAGCCCTCGAACTTTCATAAAAAATGCAAATAAGCCCTTTTATAGGAGGCTCTGTCCGGCCGTCGCCATTTGGGGCGGTTTACGGTGCAATTTTTTTATAAAGTTTTTTGAGTATCTTCTTTATTAAGTCTAGTTTACGCATGCCAAATTTCAGCTAAACATTCAATCGAGAAGTCAGTCAAATGAATTTTTGAAGATAACTGCGCAGCTCGGCAGCGCTGTATATTTCAGAAAATCATTTGACTGTCTTTTCGATTGAATTTTTAGCTGAAATTTGATAAATATAAACTAGACTTAATGAAGAAGATGTTCAAAAAAAATCATCAAAAAATTCCACCGGAAACTGTCCCAATTGGCAACAGTCGGACAAAGCCTCCTGCTAAAGGGCTTATTTGCACTTTTTATGAAAGTTCGAGGACTTATTTGATAGTTCTCCCATCTATTATTAAAATATATTTTAAATATTTTTTTTCTATAATTCAACATATTGAGATAATTCAACCTCTTCAGCTAGCATTTCATCAATTTTGTATACTCAGCGTAAGCCAATTCAAGTGGTACTAAACGGTATCCAGTTTATTAAAAAGGTAGTGTTGGCCGTTGGCGGTTCTAATTCTATTTCTTGCATGAGAAAGAAAGTAAAAAAAATATCCATACTCATAAATCAAAACTCTGTAATAGCTTATTTGTTAAAGCCAAAAAGAAAAAACTAAGATGAGAGCGAGGAAGGAAAAAACGTGTCCGGGATGTTTGGAACTGCTTCTGCTTCTGCTTCTTTTTTAAGGCAGAATCGGAATCAGAGTCAGTTTTCAGAAGTTGGTCACCCCCAACTTCTAAAAAAACTGATTCTAGAAGTAAATTAGAGCATCAGAATCAGTTTTGCACTTTCACCCAAACACTCCATAATTGAACATCAACTACTCCACATTATTGTTGGATGCGCGGTAGTATTTGACGATTCCAACTAAAGGATTTGGAAAAATGCTAGAAGTACAAATACACTTACAAAAAAACTTACAAACAAATGATGTGACTATTCTAATTACCGTTGATGTAAAAGTGTTGTAAATGTGATTTGATGTGTTAAATAATATGATGATGCCACATACCCCTTTTGTAAGACTTTTTGTAAAAGTGTTTATATCTCTAGCATAACTCAAGGATTTGATGGTCCGCCCGGTATTAAAATGCTGGACAAACTAATGTACAATAATTTTAGCTCAAAGTACAAGTTTCATTAGCTTATGATTCCACCAACACATTTTTCATACTCAAATTGTCCTTACATTGATTCAATATTATAATATTTTAAAAATAAATAAAAATGTTCATTCAAACTTTTCCCTAGCGAGTGAAAAACATGAACCTCTTACTTCATTTAAACTTTTCCATTAACTATTTCATTATATACTTTGTATAACTTTGCTTAGAAAGTATAACTTCTGATATTTATATGATCCATTTTTATTGTCAATTTACTATTTTCTCCAAAAAAATTGTCAATTTACTATAATCATTATTCATTAATAAATAATATGGAGTACTAAAATTCATAGAAATAGACAGAGATAAAAGCATCCTTTTCTATGGTTTAAACATTGCACTTTTGCATGTTTGTAAAAAAGTTCTGCTTACAAAAATGTCACGACGTTTATCATAAAGTGCAACAACTCTTCATACAAGTGTAGCATAAATTATAATAAGTGCAATTTGCACTTTCACACGTTAAAAAGGTTTTTTATTTAATCTTAAGTCCTAACTATGTTTGCGCGTGCGCGAGTATGTATATACATAATACATTACTAATATATACGAAGTATTATACTCTCTTCATCTCACAAAACTTTATCACATTTTATTATTTAAAATAATAAATCTGTGGTTTAGTTATTTTTCTATGTTCTACACAAATCTTAATTACATGTTTGTTTTACTTTATTATCCACATGTAAGTTAAACTTGACCAAGTTTCGTGTGACGAATAGAGTATAAATGTGTGTGGGTGTAGGGATGGACTGGGTCCGGGCGGCCCGAGTGCCCGACCCGCGGCCGGCCCGGTTTTTTGGGCCCAATACCCGTACTGGTGGTTATAAGGGGCACACTTTCGGCTTTGGGCCCAATTTTTTGTGCCCAGCCCAGCCGGCCCCTACCCCGGTCCAAGCTCATCAGTTTTTTTCTAAATTTTTTTAATTAATTGGGTCATTTGGGTGGTACTAACCCAGGCCCGGAACGGAACCGGTTTACAAGTACATACTTGGTCCGGTACCGGGCCTGAATTTCTTAGTCCCGCAGCCTTGGGCCCAGTCCCAAATCCATGCCTATGTGGGTGCCTACACACATCCTCCATTCCATAATTTTCATCCAACAGAATTTCTTTTCTATTCCTTCACATTTATCTCCACCATATCCATCATAATTATAGATTTCATAATAAGCGTGAAATATCAAACTAGAATATCTTTTTTTGACATAGAAGGATATAATCGTACACTGGGATATAAATTATTTTGCTGGCTATTCTTGCATGCTGGAAACCTCTCACATATGGCAAGCAAAATAATGCATAGATTACGAAGCATGCGAGAAAAACAGTATGAGAAATCAGAGAATGTGAGTGACTGACTGGGTGTGTTGTTTTAAAGACACTCCTTAGTCCTTACAGAATAGAGACAGCAAATATAGAAAGAAAGAAAGAATGGCGGTACGTAGCTCTCATCTTCTTAACTATTAATATGATGACATTGCTGTGGAGGTGAAAAAATGCTGTTACACATAACAAGAGAAAGAAACGCACAAATTCACACTTCTAACCCGCAATCTTATAGGTTGGGTTGACAAGATTGTCGAGGCCAGATACTACTTGCATAGATTCAATCACATCTCCAACCTTGAGATCCGCCAACAAGTCTTCATTTTTGATCACATAGCCAAACACGGCATAGCGGCCGTCCAAGATATTTGCATTGCTAGGAGTCAGCTCACTTTCTTTCAAAAGCCAAAATACCTGACTTGACCCGGAATTATTCTCAAATTCCTGTTTTCAGAACCAATAAGATCGTTATAAAAAGAAAAATGACACTAGGGGAATGTTTATCATGTGTTCCAAACAAATTACATTACTCACATCTCTAGCCATGGCCATTGTCCCAAATGCATTAAATGGAAGCCTTGTTTGTGCCTTAAATAGGCCAAGTTCCTAGAGAGATGCACAAGTCGATCAAACACATTACATGAAGCGGTGAAGCCATGATGCAATGGAACAAAATAAGTATTTTTGCAACCTGGAAAATTCTACTGAAAGGAGAAAAGAATACGGAAAGTTGTTTTCTAATGCTCGGTTTTTCCTGGGAAAATGTAAAGGAAATTTGATTATATAGTAAACAATAAACAAACAAAATGAGTTCGACCACATTAAAAATTATGAGTTTTAACGAATATTTCTCTTCCCTGTGTTTTCTTTCCTTGAGAATTTCCACTAAACTTTACTCCTTAGTCATTTTCTTTCCCTAATATTTCCCAGGTCCCAAATGATTCCTACAGATTCTTTTTCTTTCTCGGGATGTGAGAGACGAATCAGCTCAGTTACAGCATACTTACTTCCAAGGTGGATCCATAAAATGGCATTTTCTCCCCAATCACCATAATTTCAAGAGGTACCGTGCGTGTTTTCTCTGTACTGGGGTCAATAAAACCTTCTGCAGGACCTTCAGGATCACCGGTTTGAACCACAAAGCCATCAGCTGCAGACAATCCAATTTAACCAAGTAGTCATTCATTTCCTCATAATACATTGACTTTCACTTTCAGTTAGGTTTTTCAATTTTTCCTTTTAGATATATAAACCTTAAAAATATATTTATCTTCTATAAAATGTTTAAATGAATAATTCGTTGTGATTCAATTTTCTTGTAATTCCTTTAATTATCAAACTTCTTATATTTCAAAAATATTACTGCACTACAAATATTTATGTAATATGTTGAATTGTAAAAGATTGTGATAAAACATTAGAATAACTAATTTATGGAAATGATCCATGGGAAATGCACATGTTCTATGCTACTTCTTGTAAAGGTATCAAGAAGACACAATACATTGATCAATAAGTGGCTTTGTAGTACTTTGTAATATACCTCTTTGAATCTCCATGCCATCATAGAAATGCCGTTCAACCAAATCCACAAAATTCCCAGAAGTAACAGGAGCATTGTAGCCATCTAAAACAATGCGGAAGATGCATTCCTCAAGGTTAGGGTTGTCCTTAACTTTGACCTTCATGTCAACCGTTGCTCTTCCCTTCAGCAAAGGCCTATTTTGATACTCCTCTGGCACTTCGTATGGGAACCCATCCACCATATCTTCTTCAACACTGCAGAAATCCAATGCGCCATGAAGATCTCAGCTGCAGTCAATGAATGAGAATGGGTTTAATTTTATTTTAAATGAGAATAGCATATTTTGGAAAATAAGAACCCGTTTGGTAATGGCTGTGAGGCTGAAACAGCTGTCTGTTGATTTTTCTGAAAGGAAAATTGTATGGGGCATCCATTTCAGCCAAATAAGGTAGTCAAAACTCAAAAGTTGCAGACCGATTATGGTTACCAAACAGAGCCTAGGTTCTTATCTTTCTAATGTGGCCTCCGTCTCTATCGGTGACATAAAATTTGGTTAACAGAAATGGAAGCACCCCACCCCCGACCAAAGGCAGGAGTAACCCCTATACATAGATGCATTTGACATTCATCTAGGCTCTGGAATGTGGAAAATGCCGAGGGAAGAGGATATGTAGGGATAATCTGAAGGAAATAAAATGTTTAAAAATAACATCAGTTCAAATTAAACTAAATGAATCTACTTTTGATATTTGCTCAAAGTCATTTACTACGTATTTGTTTATTTCTATCATATAAAGACTACAACAACAAAATCCAAGCCTTAGTCCCAAAAAAATTTGGAGTCGGCTAACATGAATCGATCTATGATATCGATGCCAAACAGAGAGACGGACAAGGAGGGGAAAAAAGTACTCCTCCGTCCCATAATTAACTTCGGTTTTGACTGGGCACGGGGATTAAGATAGTGGGATTTGTGTGGTGGAGAGTTGTGTAGATGAATCATGGGGTACAAAGTTGAGCTTGCACCTCATGTTTTTTCTCTTTGACTTGGAAGCATGAGGAGGGGTGCAAACAAAAAAAAATAAATCATGGGGTACAAAGTTCAACGTATGGGGTGCAAAATCTAACAGAAATGGCTCTGTCTGAAGCGCAAAGCCAAGGAAAATAAACACAAGGTGCAGTGTTAGGGAAAACAAAAGATGGGTGCAGATGTCAAATTTCCGTTGAGATTAAGGTGATTAAGATAATGGAAAAACGGATAAGTACCTGAAAAACCTGGACTGATGCTTCACTAGCCTTTTGTTGGGTCTCAATAGTGACATAATACGAATAGATAATCATTCCAATCACGGCAACAAATATTCCTAAAATGTTCCTCCAACTGAAAGGGTCATGACGGAGAACATATCCGAAGGCTAACACAAGGCAAGTTTTCAGATGTCCTAATACTTGGTAGGTCACTGGAGATGTCTTCCCAATTACTAGAAATGTACTGAAGTTCACAGAAACTGATATTAAGCAAGATAGAACAATGAATGCCTGCCATAAGAACTAAAGAGTTAATGAATTGTGCAGTCATAAATTAGAGTAAACACAGACTCAAGAGAGGGTAGAATGATTAAATTCTTCACCAACACTTTTGGAGTGTAGTTGAAAGCAAACACATTTTTATTTGTCAAAAGCCCGTTCAGAAATGGTCCAGTTACAATCAGAGTAATTGCTTGATAAGGGCAAGATTGATATAGAAGCTGTGTGGAAGAAACCTTGAACTTCTTCTGTATGGTATTAGTCATCTGTGTGAGAATGGTTAAGTTTACTCCTATGGTAGAGGCCAATAATAAAAAACATTGTGCACATAACAACAACATCATCATCATCATGATCATTACCCCAGTGCCACAAAGACTCCCACCTACGGGCTACGGTGGGGTAGGGGGGTCGGATGTACGCAGTCTTATCCCTGTACTAAAGCACAAAGAGTCTGTTTCCGAATGACCCATAGTGAAAATCGCGTCGAAAATTGCTTAGACTGACTGTTACTTCATAACAAAGAAGCGCAGACAGTTTAGTGAGTCATTTTGCTTTATTCCATCATATTCCCAAGCCAAAAAATAGTGAGTCTTTTTTGGCTCCATTGAAAACTATGGAAATTGTACATAACAACATGCACACATAATTTGGATGTAATGAGAAGTAACCCTTTGGATATAAATATAGTGCATTAAATTCAACATCTAAAGGCTCAAAACAAGCAAATGAAGACAGAAAATGTGATGGCATTTCTGTTAAAAATAAACAGTGTACCATTCATGACCAAAACTGCAAAAAAACATTAAATAAAATTGCATTTCCCATGAAGAGATTTGAAAAAAACATGCAACAATGTTGCAACAAACATGCAACAAACATAAGGAGAGAGGGAAGGTGGTTTGAAAAAAGTAGGCTGATTGAAAGCAACGATTGAGGATACAATCTGTGCAATGCAGGTTGTGATAATTGCAAGCATAGATAGAATAGAGCCCAGCATGTTGAGCTGTAGATCAGTAACTGTTGCAATTCCAACATCAAAGAGAAGGATAGTCAGTGCAACCTGGACATTCCTACTGCAAAATCACACGATGGAACGTATTAATGGACAAATTTACTAGGCTAGACATAAAATCTCAACATAACAACAATATCATAAAACACATAACTATGTAACAAGTAATTCTACAAAGAAAATGAATGTATGAGACATCGCTCCTGTATGAAAGAGGTCATGAGTAAGATTCCGAGTGGGAATTAAATATCTACAATTTCTTTCCCAGAAATGACATTTCTTGCCCCATCAATGAATCTTGTAACAAGGAAGAAACATAGATCTTCCCTTTTAGAAAAACAAATAAAAAGTATGAGTAGTATAATGCTCCACCTGAAGTTCTTCCTAAAGAATAAGGTCTCCAAAAGAACCGTACAAGGGATGATTGCCAATTTCGTCATCTACAATAATAAAAGTTCATAAAAACAATAGAAGAAAAAATCAGACAAACTCATGTTCAATAAACCCCAACATCTAAAAGCATCACCCCATCACCATTGAATGAAGGTAGTAATGACTATAAGACCTGACAGGGAAACATCTATTCAGTCCCTATACTAATTACAACAAGTAATCTCACACATTCTGGGCGCCCGTGAAGTAAGATTTCAGATCATACTCGTTTGCAGATTAGGAATACTAAATCACTGATATTGAAGGCTTGAAGCAGATCTTTACAGTTATTGAAGGTTTGAGCCTTTGAGGAATAAATTGTACAGTACTTAACAAGCACTGAAACTCCCCACAAGTCACGCTTTGCGATACTGAAACACAGAAGTGTGTCGCAAAAACCGGGAACTTCAACTCTGTTTTTGTGCCATTTATGTTATTAAAACAAATTGGGAATCCCATTATTCTAATATTTAGCATTTTAGCAACTCTGGAATTCCATTTTTTTCAGGATTCCTTAATGGAAATTAGTGTTTGTATATGAAATTCCTTGATGGAACTTTTTCTAGGATTTCTTGCTAGCAGTCTAGCACCATCGTCTTCCTGATATTTCGTTGCTAAAAATGTAGTATGTTTTGCATATGATGATGTACAAATATGTGAATATGTCACTAACTTATATGTTTGAACATTTAGACTATTTTTATCATTGGGCATTTAGCAAAGGTAGATGAAACAAACATGTGTATCTAGACCCGTCCGCGATTCGTGGAACCAGAACCGGATGTTTACTAGTCCGGTTCTGAACTGGACTAGTAAACCAGAACCGTCCGGATCCGCTTTAGAACCGGAGGTTTACTAATACGGTTCATTTTTCCGAAAATGTGGAACCAGAACCGGAGGTTTACTAGTCCAGTTCTGAACCGGACGGTTCCGGTTCCTAACCTTTTTTTATTAAAATAAATAAATAAATGATCATCATAAAGATAATAAGAATAGTAGTACTTGTATATTGTACTAACAATAAAAAAAATAATGAGTATTAGTTAGTAATTTTTAGTCATTACTAGTTATTGGAAAATCGAACCGGGACCGAACCGAATTGGAACGGGAACCGCCGGTTTTGGAAACAGTGCTGTGAGATTCCAGCGCCCCGAAATTTGAAACCGCGAACCGGCGGTTTGGTTCCGGTTCAAACCGCGGAACTATGTGAATCCCTCTCTGTGAATACACACACAAACAGTCACACACACACAGTCACACACACACACACATATATCTTAAATATGCATATGATCTTTTAGAAAAAAATAATAAACATATCCCTATTTTTTAATATCTGCAAGTTCCGCCATCGTATCCTATAGTTTTTTGAAATGCCATTTTCACTAGAGATTTTAAATGATCGTGTTTCACACAAAATCCCTCTATGTGTGATTTATTTACCTTAAATTATATAGCATTAGCATCAGTGCATTTGGAAAGCCCGAGTTTGAAATCAAAATTCTATTGTCATGTTGACATTCTTGGGAGATCAAAAGAATGAGGAGCCATGATATTTGTCTTGTCATGTTTATTTTTTTAGATTTCAAAATCTGCCTTCTTTACATACTTGTTGCCTTGTCGGACAGGTACTAGTGTACTACTGATGTGAGGTTTACTGTATTATACTACGTCATATCCTAAATTTTACCGGTGTTATAATTTCTTTCTTTCAGTTAAAAGTAAACTTCTCCAGTTCTCCACCCAGTGACGTGAACGATATATGCCTATGTGGCATGTATTGCCCACAACTATATATAACAGCATCCCTACACATTTACCAATGCAATTCAGTACATTATTGAAAAAAGAAATCATTCTATTAAGAAAAAAATGAGTGGATTTACCTGATAAAATCCAACTGAATTGAACCCCAAACTTAGATTGAGAAGGCCAATTGAAGTCCCATTCAGCATTCCGAACCCCATCACAGCTCTGGGATCAAACGGCTTGTGTTCAAAGAATTTCATCCATAGGGCCACATGAAGAGAACAAAATGTAACTAGAAGATGCCAACTTGTCAAAGTTGTAGCTGACAAGATAAGGTTCAATTTAGTAAAAAATGAATTATTTTTCGAAGTTAATTTCAGAACACATGATCCCTAGAGAAGACAGTGTTTAATTACATATTTATATATCATCATTTTACTCAAACCATATTTTCATCAAGTAAAACATAATAAATACAATAGTTCATATTTTTTCTATTATCGTATTATACAATTAAGTATATAGCATTAAAATATAAGTTAAAATTCTTATAGAATATTTTTAACATTTTATAATAAGTGTAGTATTTCAAATTTATTTTTGAACAAAGTATGTTATATATTTAAATGTTTACTACAGAAAGAAAATCATATGTAAATATTTTATATATCTACAAATAAATATCAAATAATATTATTGATTCATATAGGCCTAAAACTATATTTTAGAATATGATTAAATATTCAAAAATGCTTAAGAATTCTTATTGAATACTAAGTACTATATTTAAATCTAGAAATATTTTGAAACTAAAAAATAACAAATAACATTTTTGAATATAGCAATATTATTATTATTATTTTATCATAGTGAAGAATATAATTTTATTTTTTTTAATATAATAATATGTTTTTATTACAGCAAAATATTATATATTAGTTGACCGGGTTTTCCGGCATTGACCCACCGGGTTCGGGTTGACCCATTACCTGATCATTCATCTGGGTCACTTCCCCGTCTGGTTTTGCAACATAGCCCATAATCCCACTTTTCTTAAAATGTGTGTTGCTTCTTTATGTCACAAAAGTAGTGGGGCGGAGGTAGTAATATCCTTAAAATTTAAGTCACAGAACCAGACATTCTTACACATTCAATGAATGAACGGAAGTCAGAAGACAAGATGAAAAAAAGAAGATAGAACTCACCAAATGTAAAACAGAGGGAGCTGATAAGGGCCTTGTTGCAAATAACAATAGAGACAGAAGATACCACAGACAAACTGAGTGCGCCAATAGTCCCAAGCTGAAACCGCTGGCCATCACTCATCTTTTCACACACTTTCCCAATCTCCAATTTCAAATTCTACAGATCACACATCACAACTTCGTCACTTCCGAATCAATCACGTAACTAAATCACGCATAACATAATCCATGGAAAAAAACACAAACCCAGCTTAGCTGGGGAACACGAATAATAATTGGCACCCAACAGCTGAGGTTTGTGAACACATAAAAACACATAACGATATATAATGCGCATAGTTCAGCAACCACTCTGTATTTTATCGCAAAAATGAAAAACAAACTCACAACAGCTGAGGTTTGTGAAAACCCTAGATCTGCAACTTTCACTTCTAATTCCAGATATTATAACATTCTTGTGTCTATACATGCATCATATACATAATACATGTACGTGTATATATACATATCTATGAGCAATAATAATAATGCACTTAAATGCATAGAGAGAGAAACGTAGTATAGAAGCTCTGTGGTATATGATCGTTGAATTTAATGATATGCAGCTATCAGATTTAGCAACTTTTGAGGGAATGTAGACAATTATGTGTGAAAAAATATCACAAAGAAAAAATATCAGAGGCACAAATAAATGCACAATGTCGATAAAAACATAAACTCATAAGACGGTGGCATCTTTTCCTTTATTATTTCTTTCTTTTACTCCGTAACTAGTATATGGCCCGTGTGTTGCACGACGGGGAAGTTTTTGTTATAAATTTTACATTTATGTAGCTCAATTTTAAAAAGATAAATTGTATAGAAACAATGGCTATGTCATGTGTTAATGACACGTACATGTTTTAAAAGCCCCATGTTTATATGTATAGCCCATCCCACGTAATAGGCTCAAAAAATGACTAATGTACATTGTAGATTCAAGTTATTTTTGATAGCATAAATCGTTTCACCAAGCCTCTCTGTTTTCACTCCACTAAAGCATATACATTACACTTCCATTTTTCCTTCTGTGTACTTGCCGAAATCATACCCAAACCATCCACTTCCACTATTGTCCTTCCTTTAATTTGTTCAGTCGACCTTCATGTAGATAAATTCCAACCAAAATAGTCTGCACTCATATAAATCCTCCATTACCGGTCAACTACGAGATATACACCCACACACAAACACACACACACATATTATATGCATCACATATCTATATTCTGATCTAAGTATATAGATCGTCCATACTGAATGTTGTCCTGATCTAGATTAAACTTTATAACCTTGGTCAACATATTAAAAAACTTTAATTAATCTCCCTTGATCAATATTTTTGCAAACATTAAGAGAAACAAATTGATTAAACATGAAATGACAATACTAATTACGAAATATATACGACTAAACGACTGCATTTAGACATTTCATTTTAACATCAACACATCTTCATACAAGTATATAATATCATTAGATTATGGTCTAAATATAATAAAAACAAATCAAATTTGGTTTTAAAAGTCCTGACTTTTAGGTTAACATAATAAATATATCTTAAAAGAGGTAATCGGGAATTCAAGATAGAGGTGGACGGTGGACCATAATACAGATGGAGTATGGAGTACCTATCGACTACAGAGCGAGGTCTGGAGGAGAAGAAGCAGGAGTCTGGAGGAGGGAGCAGCGAGGCAACTGGGCTGCGAGTCGACGGGAGGAGCGACCAGTGCGCAACGTGTGGCGACAGGCCGACAGCGATCAGATCTCCAGTGGCGAGTGGCGATGGCGGTAGTATATACTAACCTAGTTAAAAGTTACTCCCTCCTTCTTAGTTTGATGTCTCATTTCTTTTAGACACAAGTTTTAATAAAGTGGTTGAAAATATAAAAATTGTGGTTGAGATTTGAGTATAATAAAGTGAAATGATATGGACCACAATTTTCTTTACAAAAAGGGAAACATGACCATCATTTTGGGACATTCCAAAAAGGAAATACAGGACCATCATTTTGGGACGGAGGTAGTATTGCTCATGTATAAACAAAGATTCTCATTTATATTTTAAGAAATAATTAAAATTCTTAAACAACAATTTAATTATCAAGTATTACAAATAATATATTGTTAACATCATAGTTATTACCACTAACCCTATTATAATACTATCATATATACTATCGTACTTATCAAAATTATTTTTCTAAAAATATTTCGAATTATTTTATTTAGTTATTATCTAAATAATTGTACCATTTCATTTTATCGTATGAACCTTTAAACGGGATGGAGATACTATTCTTTTAGGTTGGGCCAGGGCCATCCCTGGTCCTAATCCCAATCCCCAGAATTAAAGAAACAAAAATACATGTTAACAGAAAAATTGTTAAAATTTATGTTATCTTCAAAATGAGGCGCAAGTGTGGTAGTAGTGTTGCTTAGTGTGAATATGAATGCAGAATGAATGAAATCAAACTGCCCAACATACTAAATTGGTATACTTTTATTTACCTTCAAAAACTAAAAGTCCTATTTTTTTATTAAATTTCGTGAGTTTTTTCGTGAAGTCTATAACATTCACGCAAAATTTCACATTTTTATTTGTTAAAAGTCTGTCCGGAAATGGTCCAGTTACAGTAAGAGTAATTGCTTGATAAGGGCAAGATTGATATAGAAGCTGTGTGGAAGAAATCTTGAACATCTTCTGTATGGTATTACTCATCTGTGTGAGACTGGTTAAGATTACGCCTATGGTAGAGGCCAGTAATAAAAAACATTGTGCACATAACATGCACACATAATTTGGATATAATGAGAAGTAACCCTTTGGATATAAATATGGTGCATTAAATTCAAGTTAGGGCTCAAAACAAGCAGAGAAGAAAAATGAAGAAAACATAGAACCTAATCTCAAAAAACTAAAGTATATCACTTTAGTGTATTCGCCTTTATAGACAATACTGGAGCCAACTTCACTTGTGATGTCCCATAGTTTGTATCACACAACATTCCCTTTCATGAGATTCAGGTATGCAGGTTGCCGATGTTGATATAGTTTCTTGAGATGAGTACAATTTACAGTAATGTTGTGTAGTGTTTCTAGTAGGGGTAAGGTGAAAGTGTGGTGTATAGTGTATGTTTGTAGTGTTAGTGCCTATTAGGCGTCACTGTGACGGTTACGGTGGCGGCGGCTAGATTTTCACTGTGTTGGTCACTTATTCAAATATATATCGGTGGCGAAGAAGTTGGCATTGACACACGGGTGATAGTGTCACTGCCACCAAGCCGGGGCGGCTGTGTCACATAATCAGCAAAATTTTTAGTCACATAAGGGCTCTTTGACCAGAAGATCCATCTTCTCGTGAAGAAATTCGAGCACGTCCTTTCTGTTTTCCTTCAAGAGCAGTTGTCTTAACTTTCCAAACGTCTCCCTGTCGGGACGAATCCCTTTCTCGATCATCTCTTCCATCAATTTACAAGCCCTATGAGCATCCCCGTCATAACACATCCCATTGATAAGCACAGAAAAAATGTGCATGCTGGGAATAACCTGCTTCTCCTTCATTAGCTTCCATATTTTACGTGCCTTGAGAAGCTCCTTTTTCGCGCAAAACATTTTTATCATCATGGTATATGTGTCCACATCAGCATCACAGATCTTGATCATCTTCCGGAAGACTTTGAAAGCCTCGTCAGTTTCCCCCTCACCAATTAAACTGCTCAGAATGATGTTACAAGTCCTTGAGTTTGGGGTCACACCTTTATGGTCCATCTCGTTTAGGACCCTATAAGTGTTCCCATACCTCTTCACTTTACAAAAAGCACTTATTAGTGAATTATAAATGACCACATCACCGTGGACCCCGCTTCTTTGCATTTCATGGAATGTATCAATTGCATCTTCAATTCTGTTATACATACCATAAGTATGAATTAAGATGCTGTAAATAAAAGAAGTTGGCTTACATCCCCCAAACTCCATCTCCTTGACAATTTTAACTGCTTCCTCAACCTGGCCAGCCTTGCACAGGATATCTACCATAATACCATATGTCGATTTGCAAAGATCAGTTCTCGGGCCCACAACCCGCCGCAACCATCATTGCATAAATCTCCCTCGCCTTTGGAAGGTTGGGCTCTCGTCCCCATCCCTCGAGCAATATACTATATGTTTTCACGTCGGGGGCAAACTGGTCTTTCACGTCATTGAAAATCTCTTCTGCTTTCCTCACGTTTCTCGATTTGCAAAGGGCACTCAACAACCCGTTGAGAGCCGCGAGGTTGGAAGGGACATCATATTTCTTCATCACATTGAACGTGTACACCGCCTCCTCCACCTTCTTTGCCCTCGCATACTTCCTCATCATTATACAAAATGTCTCAATATTTAGCATACCCTTTCCTTTCATTATATTCACAAGATCCCACATTACTTGATATTGTCTAATCTTGGCAAGGGATTCAATCATGCTGTGATAAGACCTGACACTATGCTCGTAGTTCCGTTGTCTACCTGCCCACTCAAAGAAACGGTGAGCCAACATACCAGCATTGTCAAATCTCTTCAGCACTTCTTCGACCAGATCTGTTGATGGCCTGACCCCACTCCGGTCAAGCTCAGCGTCAAGCCCTGATTTTGGGCAAGACATCAAAATGTCACAAACCTTTTTCATGGCAAACATGACTTGTGTTGTGTCCTTCGAACAGAACATTCTGGTGAATGATTTTGTCTTTAAGCAGCATGATCTCTTGGTGCAGCTACGTAGTATGATCATTTTGAGGAAGAAAAATCAGTACGCCAGTGTGTACCTGGAATAAACAAATTAGCGGAACAAAGTGAGAACTGATTGAACAAGAAGCAGGAATAAACAAATCAGAGAATTATAGAATAGTGAGAATGCTGATACAAAAACAACCAGAGTACAATGCAACAGGGGGGACAAAGTATTCAATCATAAATATTATGACCCAGAGGCATATGTAAATGCAATGCAGACATGCTTGGAGAAGACGTGCAGTTGACAGGCCAAAATTTAGTTAACTCGTTTTATGTACATTAAACTGATTATATTTAAATCTATTTAGTTGGCCACAACAATTTGCCAGGAGAAAGGGGTGCAGTTCAGCACACTTCCTCATTTAGCAGTAGTCGGTAGTTATTCCCTATTTCATTGTTACTACCTCCGTCCCGCTTAAAGGTTCGTATTGCAAAATCGCACGGTTATAGGTATATAATATAATGGGGTCATTGATGATAAATGTGATGTTATAAATGTATTATTTTTAATATCTGATGATTAAATTGTCATTTAAGTGTGTTAATTGTTTCCTAAAATAGAAATGAGAAACTTTATATGGGACGCCCAAAAAAGGAAAGTGGGAACCTTGGAATGAGAAGTAGGAAGTACTTTTTTCTTGTAATTTCTTGTATAGATTAGCTAAACAAAGGCATAAATGAATTGACCAAAACTTTTCCTGCTAAATTCGTTTTTCAACTGTTTCTGTTCTTTCTGCAATTCTTAGTCACCAATATCTCAGCTTATCAAACACATCATAATATTGCATGATGAGATAAATAACATGTTCAGGTTGATGTTAAATAGGTTTCTGGATTATATAAAGTTGCAGGTTATAACCATACAGTTTCTTCTGTGTAGGTAAATTAACTGTCAGATTATATTTAATTCTTCCGGTGCTGATTTCTTGTACTCCTGAAATAGATTTCTTTCCCTACTTTTTTCACTTTCAAGCTTTTCACAATTACTCCGTATATGTTTGGGCAAGCAAGGACTTACACTCATTGGCATTTCATCAAACAAATAGAGTGTGAACACTGAACGGACAAGGATAATTAGGGCATATTCATTTCAGAAGATACACTGACCTTGACTATGGAAACAGATGGAGGATTCACAGTTGATTCTTTTGTCATGAAGATAGATGCTTTTCAGCTCCATATTCAGATGAATTTAAGTGGATCTGTGCGTGATAAGGGCTATTAGTACCGGGGCCATGTCCCTATCTTTTAGAAGTGTTCGATAGAAAAACCCTGTTGGCTAGGATTTTAAAGGAGGAAAAGGTTAATTCAATACACCAACGTGCACGAGATAGAGTAAAGAGTACATTATATTGCATTTGATCTTTTTTAGGTACACAAATTCGGGATTTTAGTGTTAATTGAGTACATTTGTTAGATTAACATGTTAATACAGTTGAGTTGGCTAATAGAATGTCGAGTAAGAAGTGGTAATGGACCAATGTTATGGTACTCACCTTCACGAAGTCGATAAAAAAGGAAAAATTGACCTTCGGAGATCGACCTGCGGGGGCGTCGGTCAGCAGTGGTGCATCGACCAAGGAGAAGTAGAAATGCGAGGACTGACGTCGACCAAGGGGAAGTCGATCAAGTGACTAGGGGCTGACGTCGATCTTCAAAAAGTCGACCTAATAGCATTCTGTTAGCCAACTCAGTCATATTAACATGTTAATCTAACGAGTGTACTCAATTAACACTAAAAACTCGAATTTGTGCACTTAAAAAGATCAAATGCAATATAATGTACTTTTTATACTACCTCATACAAATTGATAGAAATTGATGTAGTCAATTGACCTTTACCTCGATTTTAAAGGGAATTGACAAAACTACCTTTATCCAAATGCCGCTGCCAAAGACCCAAATATATGTTCCGCTCCCGTCATATGCAGACCGATTCATGGCACGGCAGCAACTATGCCTCTGTCGACTAGATTCCTCATCGGTCGCAGGTCACCGAGTGGTTGTCGACGCGAGTGTGGTCACGATTGTCGTTTATGATTTCTCTCCTCTTTTACTTTCCAACTTCTGCTGCTAACACGTGCCTTTGTGTTGATATATTTTTGTTCTGCTACACATGCCTTTTGCTGGTGTTTTACTTTCCTCCGTATTATTTAGGTAAAATACATGGTACCGCAGCTCTTGTTTTGGGCTTTGCCCTTCTTCGTTCCGTACCAGAAGAATCCGACTTGGCATCAACCTTCGCACCAGTTTCTCCGATCTAGCTTGGTTCTTCGATCTAGCTTCGCCACTGGCTGACTGTCATCAACGCACCACTGATTTCTTTTGCTCGTCGCCGCCGCTCATGGCTCATCCCCCTCTTCTCTAGCACGGAAGCAGCAGATCCGTCTGGACAATTACTTCTCCTCCCTCTGTCTTTCTTTTCACTATTTTTAGGTTTTCTCTTTTTCTTATTCAGTTTTGCTGTTTGAGATTGCGATTTTGGAAGACAAAGAAAAAACCTTACTGCTATTGATCTCAAATAATGAGGTTTATATCAAACTCAAATGAGTATACACATAAAAGAAATGAACATACACAACTGAATACTAAGCACGTTAGAAATGAGTTTTATATTAAATTCAAATGAGTATACGCATAAAAGAAATGAATATACACAACTGAATATTAAACACATTAAAAATGAGTTTTATTTTAAACTAAAATGAGTATAACGCCTGAAATCAATGAGCATGCACAAATGACCTTTTGAATTTTTTGATACTCATTTTGTAAATTATGTATGCTCATTTGGTATTGCTTTATGCTCATTTTAAAATGTTGCACATATCAAACATATCATACTAATTAAATTCATATATTGAAATTGATTATAAACATCATTTAATATTTTTTTATAATACTATCATATATACTATCGTACTTATCAAAATTATTTTTCTAAAAATATTTCGAATTATTTTATTTAGTTATTATCTAAATAATTGTACCATTTCATTTTATCGTATGAACCTTTAAACGGGATGGAGATACTATTCTTTTAGGTTGGGCCAGGGCCATCCCTGGTCCTAATCCCAATCCCCAGAATTAAAGAAACAAAAATACATGTTAACAGAAAAATTGTTAAAATTTATGTTATCTTCAAAATGAGGCGCAAGTGTGGTAGTAGTGTTGCTTAGTGTGAATATGAATGCAGAATGAATGAAATCAAACTGCCCAACATACTAAATTGGTATACTTTTATTTACCTTCAAAAACTAAAAGTCCTATTTTTTTATTAAATTTCGTGAGTTTTTTCGTGAAGTCTATAACATTCACGCAAAATTTCACATTTTTATTTGTTAAAAGTCTGTCCGGAAATGGTCCAGTTACAGTAAGAGTAATTGCTTGATAAGGGCAAGATTGATATAGAAGCTGTGTGGAAGAAATCTTGAACATCTTCTGTATGGTATTACTCATCTGTGTGAGACTGGTTAAGATTACGCCTATGGTAGAGGCCAGTAATAAAAAACATTGTGCACATAACATGCACACATAATTTGGATATAATGAGAAGTAACCCTTTGGATATAAATATGGTGCATTAAATTCAAGTTAGGGCTCAAAACAAGCAGAGAAGAAAAATGAAGAAAACATAGAACCTAATCTCAAAAAACTAAAGTATATCACTTTAGTGTATTCGCCTTTATAGACAATACTGGAGCCAACTTCACTTGTGATGTCCCATAGTTTGTATCACACAACATTCCCTTTCATGAGGTTCAGGTATGCAGGTTGCCGATGTTGATATAGTTTCATGAGATGAGTACAATTTACAGCAATGTTGTGTAGTGTTTCTAGTAGGGGTAAGGTGAAAGTGTGGTGTATAGTGTATGTTTGTAGTGTTAGTGCCTATTAGGCGTCACTGTGACGGTTACGGTGGCGGCGGCTAGATTTTCACTGTGTTGGTCACTTATTCAAATATATATCGGTGGCGAAGAAGTTGGCATTGACACACGGGTGATAGTGTCACTGCCACCAAGTCAGGGCGGCTGTGTCACATAATCAGCAAAATTTTTAGTCACATAAGGGCTCTTTGACCAGAAGATCCATCTTCTCGTGAAGAAATTCGAGCACGTCCTTTCTGTTTTCCTTCAAGAGCAGTTGTCTTAACTTTCCAAACGTCTCCCTGTCGGGACGAATCCCTTTCTCGATCATCTCTTCCATCAATTTACAAGCCCTGTGAGCATCCCCGTCATCACATATCCCATTGATAAGCACAGAAAAAGTGTGCATGCTGGGAATAACCTGCTTCTCCTTCATTAGCTTCCATATTTTACGTGCCTTAAGAAGCTCCTTTTTCGCGCAAAACATTTTTATCATCATGGTATATGTGTCCACATCAGCATCACAGATCTTGATCATCTTCCGGAAGACTTTGAAAGCCTCGTCAGTTTCCCCCTCACCAATTAAACTGCTCAGAATGATGTTACAAGTCCTTGAGTTTGGGGTCACACCTTTATGGTCCATCTCGTTTAGGACCCTATAAGTGTTCCCATACCTCTTCACTTTACAAAAAGCACTTATTAGTGAATTATAAATGACCACATCACCGTGGACCCCGCTTCTTTGCATTTCATGGAATGTATCAATTGCATCTTCAATTCTGTTATACATACCATAAGTATGAATTAAGATGCTGTAAATAAAAGAAGTTGGCTTACATCCCCCAAACTCCATCTCCTTGACAATTTTAACTGCTTCCTCAACCTGGCCAGCCTTGCACAGGATATCGACCATAATACCATATGTCGATTTGCAAAGATCAGTTCTCGGGCCCACAACCCGCCGCAACCATCATTGCATAAATCTCCCTCGCCTTTGGAAGGTTGGGCTCTCGTCCCCATCCCTCGAGCAATATACTATATGTTTTCACGTCGGGGGCAAACTGGTCTTTCACGTCATTGAAAATCTCTTCTGCTTTCCTCACGTTTCTCGATTTGCAAAGGGCACTCAACAACCCGTTGAGAGCCGCGAGGTTGGAAGGGACATCATATTTCTTCATCACATTGAACGTGTACACCGCCTCCTCCACCTTCTTTGCCCTCGCATACTTCCTCATCATTATACAAAATGTCTCAATATTTAGCATACCCTTTCCTTTCATTATATTCACAAGATCCCACATTACTTGATATTGTCTAATCTTGGCAAGGGATTCAATCATGCTGTGATAAGACCTGACACTATGCTCGTAGTTCCGTTGTCTACCTGCCCACTCAAAGAAACGGTGAGCCAACATACCAGCATTGTCAAATCTCTTCAGCACTTCTTCGACCAGATCTGTTGATGGCCTGACCCCACTCCGGTCAAGCTCAGCGTCAAGCCCTGATTTTGGGCAAGACATCAAAATGTCACAAACCTTTTTCATGGGATCAAACATGACTTGTGTTGTGTCCTTCGAACAGAACATTCTGGTGAATGATTTTGTCTTTAAGCAGCATGATCTCTTGGTGCAGCTACGTAGTATGATCATTTTGAGGAAGAAAAATCAGTACGCCAGTGTGTACCTGGAATAAACAAATTAGCGGAACAAAGTGAGAACTGATTGAACAAGAAGCAGGAATAAACAAATCAGAGAATTATAGAATAGTGAGAATGCTGATACAAAAACAACCAGGGTACAATGCAGCAGGGGGGACAAAGTATTCAATCATAAATATTATGACCCAGAGGCATATGTAAATGCAATGCAGACATGCTTGGAGAAGACGTGCAGTTGACAGGCCAAAATTTAGTTAACTCGTTTTATGTACATTAAACTGATTATATTTAAATCTATTTAGTTGGCCACAACAATTAGCCAGGAGAAAGGGGTGCAGTTCAGCACACTTCCTCATTTAGCAGTAGTCGGTAGTTATTCCTTATTTCATTGTTACTACCTCCGTCCCGCTTAAAGGTTCGTATTGCAAAATCGCACGGTTATAGGTATATAATATAATGGGGTCATTGATGATAAATGTGATGTTATAAATGTATTATTTTTAATATCTGATGATTAAATTGTCATTTAAGTGTGTTAATTGTTTCCTAAAATAGAAATGAGAAACTTTATATGGGACGCCCAAAAAAGGAAAGTGGGAACCTTGGAATGAGAAGCAGGAAGTACTTTTTTCTTGTAATTTCTTGTATAGATTAGCTAAACAAAGGCATAAATGAATTGACCAAAACTTTTCCTGCTAAATTCGTTTTTCAACTGTTTCTGTTCTTTCTGCAATTCTTAGTCACCAATATCTCAGCTTATCAAACACATCATAATATTGCATGATGAGATAAATAACATGTTCAGGTTGATGTTAAATAGGTTTCTGGATTATATAAAGTTGCAGGTTATAACCATACAGTTTCTTCTGTGTAGGTAAATTAACTGTCGGATTATATTTAATTCTTCCGGTGCTGATTTCTTGTACTCCTGAAATAGATTTCTTTCCCTACTTTTTTCACTTTCAAGCTTTTCACAATTACTCTGTATATGTTTGGGCAAGCAAGGACTTACACTCAGTGGCATTTCATCAAACAAATAGAGTGTGAACACTGAACGGACAAGGATAATTAGGGCATATTCATTTCAGAAGATACACTGACCTTGACTATGGAAACAGATGGAGGATTCACAGTTGATTCTTTTGTCAGGAAGATAGATGCTTTTCAGCTCCATATTCAGATGAATTTAAGTGGATCTGTGCGTGATAAGGGCTATTAGTACCGGGTCCATGTCCCTATCTTTTAGAAGTGTTCGATAGAAAAACCCTGTTGGCTAGGATTTTAAAGGAGGAAAAGGTTAATTCAGTTCACCAACGTGCACGAGATAGAGTAAAGAATACATTATATTGCATTTGATCTTTTTTAGGTACACAAATTCGGGATTTTAGTGTTAATTGAGTACATTTGTTAGATTAACATGTTAATACAGTTGAGTTGGCTAATAGAATGTCGAGTAAGAAGTGGTAATGGACCAATGTTATGGTACTCACCTTCACGAAGTCGATAAAAAAGGAAAAATTGACCTTCGGAGATCGACCTGCGGGGGCGTCGGTCAGCAGTGGTGCATCGACCAAGGAGAAGTAGAACTGCGAGGACTGACGTCGACCAAGGGGAAGTCGATCAAGTGACTAGGGGCTGACGTCGATCTTCAAAAAGTCGACCTAATAGCATTCTGTTAGCCAACTCAGTCATATTAACATGTTAATCTAACGAGTGTACTCAATTAACACTAAAAACTCGAATTTGTGCACTTAAAAAGATCAAATGCAATATAATGTACTTTTTATACTACCTCATACAAATTGATAGAAATTGATGTAGTCAATTGACCTTTACCTCGATTTTAAAGGGAATTGACAAAACTACCTTTATCCAAATGCCGCTGCCAAAGACCCAAATATATGTTCCGCTCCCGTCATATGCATACCGATTCATGGCACGGCAGCAACTATGCCTCTGTCGACTAGATTCCTCATCGGTCGCAGGTCACCGTTCACTGTTGATATGCCTGGTTTTCGTCGGAGTGGTTGTCGACGCGAGTGTGGTCACGATTGTCGTTTATGATTTCTCTCCTCTTTTACTTTCCAACTTCTGCTGCTAACACGTGCCTTTGTGTTGATATATTTTTGTTCTGCTACACATGCCTTTTGCTGGTGTTTTACTTTCCTCCGTATTATTTAGGTAAAATACATGGTACCGCAGCTCTTGTTTTGGGCTTTGCCCTTCTTCGTTCCGTACCAGAAGAATCCGACTTGGCATCAACCTTCGCACCAGTTTCTCCGATCTAGCTTGGTTCTTCGATCTAGCTTCGCCACTGGCTGACTGTCATCAACGCACCACTGATTTCTTTTGCTCGTCGCCGCCGCTCATGGCTCATCCCCCTCTTCTCTAGCACGGAAGCAGCAGATCCGTCTGGGCAATTACTTCTCCTCCCTCTGTCTTTCTTTTCACTATTTTTAGGTTTTCTCTTTTTCTTATTCATTTTTGCTGTTTGAGATTGCGATTTTGGAAGACAAAGAAAAAACCTTACTGCTATTGATCTCAAATAATGAGGTTTATATCAAACTCAAATGAGTATACACATAAAAGAAATGAACATACACAACTGAATACTAAGCACGTTAGAAATGAGTTTTATATTAAATTCAAATGAGTATACGCATAAAAGAAATGAATATACACAACTGAATATTAAACACATTAAAAATGAGTTTTATTTTAAACTAAAATGAGTATAACGCCTGAAATCAATGAGCATACACAAATGACCTTTTGAATTTTTTGATACTCATTTTGTAAATTATGTATGCTCATTTGGTATTGCTTTATGCTCATTTTAAAATGTTGCACATATCAAACATATCATACTAATTAAATTCATATATTGAAATTGATTATAAACATCATTTAATATTTTTTTATAAACGAAAATATAATAAAAAGAAACTGAATTAGAAGATATGAAGCAGGGATCACCGGTGCTCATTATTAGGCTTTCAATACTCAAAAGAACAGACTTGATGCTCATGAAAATTGCATCAATGCTCATTTAAGAGAAATCATGATTTTCACCAAAATTACAAGTTTGACACTGGTTGTACGGCCGACACCTTACAACCGGCTGTACCATATATGCTTCCTATTATTTATGCTTTTCTATTTTATTTTATTTTGCTGATTCATCTTTTCAAATTGATTTTGATGGATTTTATTGCAGTGTTTTCAACATTGACATTAAATTACATTGTCAACAATGACAGTGTAGTAAGGCCCTTTTCCATCAACTTAATTGACTGATTTTGTTAAAGTATCAAATTCCAATCAAATTGTCTATATGTAATGATTTATCAAAGCATATAATTTACGAAGAAAGTTAAAATAATATTCGTAGTTTTCTACAAATGCATTAGACAATACTTTAGCATGTGAAATAAAAAAAATTTCATAAAAAGTTACCATTAATCTGATAAATTGAAAATAAAGACTAAGAAACAGGCTCAAAATACTTACACCACTAATATAAATACACTTGTAACAGTTTTAGTACTCAGTATTAGTTGTTTAACACTCCCTCTGTCTAGCTAAGAAAGTCTCATCTTTAACACTCGTATAGCAAATTTGATAATATTTCTATGGTTCAAAATCTGTTTTACTTTATTTTCATTTTATCAATTCAATACTAACCACGTACATAAATTTAATTCTTGCTAAGCACATTACTTCCTCATGTATTAATATTAGATGAACAAAGCAGATAAGGTAGATTCTCCTAGTTAGGTCATCTATCTTTGCAAAAATGTTTAAGAGTCCATTTGGTTATAACTTTTTATATCTCGTACTTAATTGTGATATAATCAAATCAGTAAGGTTGAAGTTACTTTTCCGATTGAATTGGTTGAAATTATTTAGAGAACATTTAATAGAGAACTATTAAATAAGCCCTCGAACTTTCATAAAAAATGCAAATAAGCCCTTTTATAGGAGGCTCTGTCCGGCCGTCGCCATTTGGGGCGGTTTACGGTGCAATTTTTTTATAAAGTTTTTTGAGTATCTTCTTTATTAAGTCTAATTTACGCATGCCAAATTTCAGCTAAACATTCAATCGAGAAGTCAGTCAAATGAATTTTTGAAGATAACTGCGCAGCTCGGCAGCGCTGTATATTTCAGAAAATCATTTGACTGTCTTTTCGATTGAATTTTTAGCTGAAATTTGATAAATATAAACTAGACTTAATGAAGAAGATGTTCAAAAAAATTCATCAAAAAATTCCACCGGAAACTGTCCCAATTGGCAACAGTCGGACAAAGCCTCCTGCTAAAGGGCTTATTTGCACTTTTTATGAAAGTTCAAGGACTTATTTGATAGTTCTCCCATCTATTATTAAAATATATTTTAAATATTTTTTTTCTATAATTCAACATATTGAGATAATTCAACCTCTTCAGCTAGCATTTCATCAATTTTGTATACTCAGCGTAAGCCAATTCAAGTGGTACTAAACGGTATCTAGTTTATTAAAAAGGTAGTGTTGGCCGTTGGCGGTTCTAATTCTATTTCTTGCATGAGAAAGAAAGTAAAAAAGATATCCATACTCATAAATCAAAACTCTGTAATAGCTTATTTGTTAAAGCCAAAAAGAAAAAACTAAGATGAGAGCGAGGAAAGAAAAAACGTGTCCGGGATGTTTGGAACTGCTTCTGCTTCTGCTTCTTTTTTAAGGCAGAATCGGAATCAGAGTCAGTTTTCAGAAGTTGGTCACCCCCAACTTCTAAAAAAACTGATTCTAGAAGTAAATTAGAGCATCAGAATCAGTTTTGCACTTTCACCCAAACACTCCATAATTGAACATCAACTACTCCGCATTATTGTTGGATGCGCGGTAGTATTTGACGATTCCAACTAAAGGATTTGGAAAAATGCTAGAAGTACAAATACACTTGCAAAAAACTTACAAACAAATGATGTGACTATTCTAATTACCATTGATGTAAAAGTGTTGTAAATGTGATTTGATGTGTTAAATAA